CTGACACTAAATGAATGATTTTCATGCAAAAATATATCAAAACAATATATGTGATGGAAAATATCTATTTACCAAACTTTGAAAAGAAGAATTTAGTGGTGAAACGAATATTTTATATTGAGATGCAATCGATCTCTTAGTAAATTTGGTTGTATAGAAGCTATAACCCATCAATAGATGAATTTCACATTGTTTTCAAAAAGATTTAATAAATTACAATATTTTCACATTGCTCGTCGTTTGAAATGAAAAAAACGTGTCATTAAGTGATCTATGTAATTCTAATCATTATGTTATGAATACAATAGCCCTGTCATGACTCTTCATCAGTATGTGTTTTTGTTTGTCCTTCTATATCTTTAATGTTTGGATAGAAAATCCGATACGATTAATTCACATGTTTGTATTTGAAATTGTATATAGATGTATTACAAAGTGTATTTTGTTATTAGACGTAAATATTGGTGTTTATGTATGTCGAGCGCTTTGTAGAAACCCGGGTAGGTTATTGTCCATGGCAGACAAATCGATATTACAGTTACCACGATTCATTAACAGTGTCATACAACCCATAAAACAACACTCTAAAAATAAATCTGCCAATAGAATTCTAATATTTACTGATCCTGTGTTCAACAATGACTCTTCCTTATAACATCTACCTTTAACTCCATCATACAGTGTTTTAACTCTGTTGACTGTTACATTGGAGCTGTCGAAGAGTCCACCTTCTTGAAAATCAAAATCACTAATCGTTTTGTTTCATTAACTTTATCTACTTCCGGGTTCAGTCTATAGATAATTTCGTGTAGGCGGTATAGCCATTTTATACGTGATATATTTCGTCTCTACATCCATTATTCACAGGTAAGATGTGACAGAAGTATATATTTACCATGGATACGGTGTATGAACGCTGACTCACTAGGAACTTCTGTGCTTTGATAACAGAAAACTGTATTCTATAATAAAGGTCCACAAGTAACGAATATTACGTATTACAGCTTAACATAGACTTCGTCTGATATGGTTGTAGGTGACGCAATGGGGTATATATACATTGTAGGTCCATTACATCATATATTAAGGCATGTCGTGTGTTAAATAGAAACGACACAAAAAATCACGTGATATTCAATTCAACGATACTCTATTGCGTATGTTTATTCAAAATAAAAATATGAAGACAAAGAAAAAAAATACCAATACATAGAATCACCGATACTGAAAGTTATTTCTAGAACCATGTAAATCACCAGTCTAATTTTAGATCAATCTATTTATAACGCTTTACTTATCTGGATAATGTCGTTGTTTATGTAAATACTTCCCGGTGTTATTGTCGTTGTTTATGTAAATGTTTCCTGGGGATATTGTCGTGTTTATGTAAATGTTTCCCGGTGATATTGTTGTGTTTATGTAAATGTTTCCTGGTGATGTTGTCGTTGTGTTTATGTAAATGTTTCCTGGTGATGTTGTCAAGTTGTTGTCAGAACTTTTAGATTGTCGTTTCTCAATTGATATACTTTGTTTATGTATACAACAAAGAGACAAGTTCAAATCGAACTTGGAATTCACTCTATAAAACCAGAAATCATGTGACCCTGAAAGGGTGAGTTATTACTGGTGGAAGTTATCATTGCATACCTACTTTTGTATTAATAGGTTTTTTTTTCACCAAACAGTATAACGCAGAACCCGTATGGACACTAATTATCGAAATGTATTTGTACAGGTGTCCATTTTTTTTCAGTATACATAAATAGTGACCTGTACTTACCATAACGTTTACAACATCACGCCATTGTCCACCTCTGAGTTGTCTAATAATGATAACCTCCGTGTGGTTTTCCAGCGGTGTTATTGATAGCCGTTACTGGAATTACCTGTGGATTTAAACACGTCACCATAAACCGACTTTTCATAGTACAATCATATCGTGTAAATTAATACAAGATTACGTCAAAGAGAGGGTTCAGAGGTCACGCAAACTAAAAATAGTAATGCCGAAATTGAAAGTTCTATTTTACATGCCTTTTTAAAATTGCTATGTTAAGGTTAAATTATACCAAACCTACAAGTACTTAGTAAATAGCTGACTAATAATCATCATTCTTATTTCTATATCATTTCTGCTATAGGTTATTGTACTTTGTTTGTCCTTGTTAAGAAGTATATAATAGTTGAAACCGATGTATGTATAAAAATAGCATTAATCGTTAAGAAACCATGTCAATGATACAGATGCTTACTGTTTACTTTGGCTGCGATTTTGAGATAAATTTCAATATCGGCAGGTAAAACTGGGTTTATTTAGAGTCATTACGTTTTCTTGCTTATTTCACTGAATATTGAGTCGAAAAATTACTCATTAAGATTGATGTTGACCCGGTTGTAAACTCTCCGAAATTAGTGACTAATAACTTAAATGAAACATGTTTGCGATATCGTTTAGTTTTTAAAGTATGTGGTGAAATTGATTTTAGCTTCTTCAATAACCAACAAAACATTAATCAGTAATCACGTGATTTAATTCTTTGTTTATGACATACAAACTGTAATGTAAGTAGTTCAAACTAGTTAATTGATATTCTATTTGAAATAACGATATTGCCTAAGCATATAATTAACAAAAATACAGTGATTATAATAATAAAATTTCCCAGAAAATATTGTTCTGCTGAGGACTTAAGGTATATTCGGATGTATTAGATTTAACTGTCATTATTTTTTTTATACATGTTTCACGTCTTTTATCGTGAGATATAGGCAAAAGACACGTTGTCTCTTTGTATGTTAATGAAACCCAACACTTATTGTTCAGTTTCTGTATAAGATACACATTATTTAAGATAATTGATATATATATATATATATATATATATATATATATATATATATATATATATCTAGAAGGTATCTACTACATAATATATCTAATATTGTACACAAGATATCTTACATAGTACACAAGCTATCATAGTACACAAAATATCTTACATAGTACACAAAATATCTTACATATTACAAAAGATATCTTACATGGTTTACAAAATATCTTACATAGTACACAAGATATAGTACACAAGATATAGTACACAAGATATCTTACATAGTACAACATAATACACAAGATATCTTACATAGTACACAAGATATCTAACATAGTACATAAGATATCTTACGTAGTACACAAGATATATTGTATTGTACACAAGAAATCTTATGTAATACAGAAGATACATTGTTTAGGACTGAAGATATCTTACATAAGTATGTAGGCTTTCTGACATTTCCTTTCCCATCGTATAGAATTTATAAAAGGCAAAAAAAATTAATAACACCCTCTTACATTCTAGCCATATAATGAATTAAACCACGTCATGCAACTATTTCGTCCTTCGAGGACTCGTCAGTGATACTAATGGTCAAAGGGTCTAGACTTTGAAATCTAGGAGGCGACTGAGGCAACTCCAAAGTGTTCGAATGAAATGTCTGAATCTAGGCGGGGAGGTGTACTAGCCCCACATTACGATAGATCTTTGTGTAACCACACCAGCCTTATCTTTCTGCTCGTAACGTCGCCTGTCTCACGTGTAAGATCCTTCATCGCGATAAAGAAAATAAAAGCCACGCGACTTATATTGAGGTCAAGGATGTCTGCACCGGAGGATCGTCTGTTCGGACCGAATGAAGAAAAATGGGATACAACCTCCCTCACCAGTCCCTGTGAGGCGTTCCGTCAGGGACCACAAGCCTCCAAACCGTTATGGTGACTGGGCAATATGGACTGGATTCTAGGAGACGTCGCTATGAGACCAATGTATTTCTTTTAAAATGGATGAGTCGCAAATGTACTCTTTATTCATTGGTTTAATGTTGTTATCTTATATCTCCGGTTTCTGTAGCCAGATTGGCCGGAAGGTAAGGCTTTCCCCAACCATCGGTTTGGGCATGAGAACCTTAGGACGAATAAATCCGATCAGTTTTAAGTGTTTATAAGCCATTTCTTAATTACCATTGTCATCGAAGCCCGAACGCTAACATCTGAAATCGCCTTTGGTGACACTCTACCTGCTGTTACTTGTAAAAGAGGCATTATGGTGTTTGTGCAGTTGGATAGACATATGTGTAGTCTAAATTTGGCTAAGGTCTAATATATAGAGTTACTGAACTCCTGTAAGTATACAGTACTGATGGAGTTAATATGTTTTGACTCTAAGTCTAGCATATATATGAATGTATGAAAATACCTACTGGATAATGCGGTATCAGTATTATGCTTATGTTAGGTTGTACTAGGCCATTGTAGTCAGCACAGTGGCAGGCATGTTTTACTACGTGTAATTCTGGATCTACAGTAGATTTAGGATAGGATTGGGGAGATGTCTGGACTCATTTATCAAAGAGAGGGAATATGTAACCGGGTTACCTTGTTTTAAAATGTCACTAGCGCGCGTATTCTGCACGTGCTGTGAACGACTGAGTAACGCATACGCCGTTCTATCCACTATCCTTGTTCACTGGAACACTACTCACTCCGCACCTGACCGGCATCCAGCACACACCTGGTTCCCTGGTTTCATTCTGTGTGCTACATGTACACCAGAGACGTATATATACGTCTCTGATGTACACATACGATAACAATGACTAAATACAAAATGTGGATTGACAGAAGTTCAGTCATTATTTTATTTGACCAACTCGGCTACATAATTATATGGTATTCATATCAAATAAATCTATTAAGAAGTCAATAAGTTGTCTGCTACCTATGTAATATCCTTTCGTATTGAGAGTTATTAAACAGTAGATTAAAATTCCTGCTATGAAAATGTATGCTGAATTGAAAGTTGAAGCACACCCCCATTTTTGACCAATCACCGAACAGGAATATTTATCCGTGACGCTTGAAAATATTCATTATTCTACTGCTCTTGCCATTGAAACGTTCAAATGACCTGATCAAAATCTACGGTAGGTTTGGAAACAACACCAGCTGGACGAAATCAGAGGGAGTTTATCTTAGGAAATCACCACTTTTGTCTGTGAGCAGAGATTAATCAAGATGACACATAACGAAGAGAGGGCTCACTGGTTGAGGGAAGGCGCCATTGGTTTAGGAGGTAAGCCTAACATCCATACCGAACAATCGTTATGTCAGCGATATGTTAGGCCAGGGACGTATGATACAGTATTATACGTCCCTGATTAGGCCTAACAGCCTTACGTCACGGTAGGCTTAGCTCTGACAGGCAGTTACAGATACGTTAATTACATGGTAGTACTAATTTTTTTAACTGGAGGGGGCTTAGGATTGGCAGCATGCAAGTGGTCTCTGTGGCCGGACATACTCTTTTTAGACTGAATCCTGGTATGTTTATGACACTGACAGTTAAACAACTTATACACTGTAAACGTAGTTACACTTATTAAACCTTGCCTAACTTTTGTGAATATCGCGAGCTCTGTCTAGGATATTCCAGAAGAAGTTAGAGCTGATATAAACCTATCATTTTTTAATACTGTGTGCCTACTTCCTTTTGGGGTTACTGTGGGTCATGTGTGGTTCCTCTGTAACTGACTTTTGTAATGTAGAACTTGAAGTTGTAAGTAAACATCATCTTAATTACTAGCCTCATCGGTTAGTGGTAATTTCCTTTTAGTCAAACGGTAGAGTGCCCAGTTAGAGGTCACTGTGTTGCTAGTTTGTACCTCTAGAGGGGACAGGGGATATTTTCTATTAATCCTTCTTTCTGCATATTTATTGTTGTTGACCACTCCAGATTTAGTTCCATTGACTACTCCAGGGATAGAAGTTATTGAAGAGAGTACAGATCACTTACTAGAATCAAGTGGTAGTGTCAGGCTAGATACTAAGAGGAACAATCGCTAGTTCAAATCCTGGTGAGAGCAGAACATGCTTTTCATTACTCCTTTCTATTACTAATTTGGTACTGGTAAACACTCCAAGGGTAGAACTATATGAGATTATGCTGTTTCCTTAGGATAAATAAGAAGTTGAGAGTTGCAGATTACCAAATCAGCTTTAGATAGTGGGAATTTCATTGTTACAAGTGAAGGTAGAGTGTCTGCCAGGATAAAGAAAATGCTAGTTCCAACCCTAGTGGGAGCAGGTATTTTTCATTAAATCTTTTCTATCGATTATAGTAATAAAAGCTTTCAAGCATGATGTGTTAAAATATCAAACATGTACCCTAAAGCCAGGAGAAACTCTGAAACTAATGTAGGTGGTTTGTCAGGATCTGTTACAGAGATTGGAAGAAAATTCATTGTTGCTATTCAAAAGAAATGTTAACAAAAATTAAGGCATATTTAGCCAGACATCCAGAACATACTGACCTCTAAAACCATAACTTAGAATGATGTCAGAAGATTTAACAATAATTTACTCAAAGTGAAGAATAACCAAGAATAATTTAATGTTTATTGATATTGTAAAAGTCTCAAAATTTTTGTTAAAAGTTGTTAAACAAATGATAATTTTTGATAAAATCCATATACAGGTATGGTATTTATTTGAAAATATAAACAAGGTTTTTAAGTATTTGAACTCTTCTAATTAAGTATATATCATTACCATTCTCTGATGTACAATTGATTGTTTCAGTTGGAGTTCTATATGGTCTAACCAACACTTGTGTTGGCCACCCCTTTGATACGATCAAAACAAAAATGCAAGGGCAAGTAGGCTATGAGAAAACCAACATGTTCCAGACTTTGACAAAGACACTACGCACACAAGGTGTCATCGGCTTGTACAGGTCTGTAACCCTATGAATGAATTGCCCTTTCACATTTTTTCATTAGTTTTCAAAATCGAATAATAAAGTGTTTTTCATTAAACATGACAGAAAAAGTACAATCAGCATCAACATAACACATACAGGCAATATATAAGAAGGCTCAGAAAGGAAGTTCACAGATATGTGAGTCTTTTTTGTTAATTTTTATTTTTTTTTATCTGATTGAAAACAGTCCCAACTTTTCTGTTGTTAATATCATTTTTCACTGATAATGGAAAACTTGTATTATTTTACTGATCTTTATATGACTGACATCAGGTGAAGAAATGGTTTGATGATGACAAGATGTAAGGATGTGTTTTTATTGTACAGAGGCTGTATCCCACCTCTGTGGGGCTCAGGTATCTACAGGTCAACTCAGTTTGCTGTGTTTGAAGCTATGTAAGTACACATTGATGATACAAGAGAGATTTCTGAACCACAAAATCTGAAATACATTTTTAATTGAAAAGTAATTAGACTGATTGAATTGTGCTTTACTTGTTTTCGGAGCCAGTTTGTTTAAACCCTAGCTATTTTAATAAGTTGATATGCTAATTTTGAAATGAATACAGTTTTGAAAGATAATGCCATACAAAGTTTTGTGTTAATGGGTATCCTATCATTAGCTGATGTAGATTGTTTTGAACTAGGCCCAGAAGTAATATAAAATAGAAGTTAACCAAACTATATACAGAATGTACACTGTATACTTGTTTGAGGTCCAGATTTGATTGGAAACAAAATATGTACCAAAACTATGTGAATGAATGCTGAGAAAGTAAAATTAAAGTACCATATTTATTCTGCAATAAGTCCAAGGCACCAACATATTAACTCTAAGTGAGGGAGTGGGCTTATTATCATACAAAGAAATGACATTACAGTTTTTACTTTACAATTATTTACAGTCATGGGCTTACTGCTAGATAACAAATAGGGTAGTTAACAGTCTCTGACCTAGCATGTGACAAAGAATGTCTTTCCTCTAGGTACACATACTTTGACAGTCCAGTAGGCCGCCATGAGATACCAGGACTTGCTGGATTGCAATTGTAAGTGAACATAATTATATTGATGAAAATGTTTACTATGTCCAGTTTTTAAAATCACATATATCCTATTTAATTGAATTAATATACTAGTAGATACTTTGCCATGTCGTTGTCTTCAGTTCCATTTTACAATGTCCCAAAGGACTCATTGGTGTAACAATTTTTTTGTTATCTTTAGGAGAGTTGTGGGTGCTGGTATTATTGCGTCAACTTCCCGAGCTATCATAGAAACACCTCTTGAGTATGCAAAGGTAATAATGACACACATTTCATTAAGACAACAAATTAGATTTACATACAATACAATATACATGACAAACAAGTACCTGTAAAAGCAAGAATGTTCTTAAAACAGAAAGATTTCAAAATGGAAAACAAACTTTGTTGCAGTGCAGTTTAAACAATTGTAATATATATGATATCAAATAGGCAAAGATATTCATTTGATAAGTTCTACATATATGGTGATTGCTAACCTGGTAACCAATAGAAATGCTTGTGTTTAAGGTGAGACGGCAGACACAACAGACTTGGCAGCTCCGAAAAGTATACACTGTGAGTAAGAAAAGTAAACAAAGTTGTAAACGATAACAATCTGACAAAAGATTTCAGGTTAGAGACCTGTTAAGTGATTTATATTACCTTTTCTGAGATGACCTAATCAGACGATAAAAGTTAACAGTTTCTGTCAAACAATCTTTGATTGTTTTATTATGAAAGAGTCATTATAAATGTTTGATAATGTTTCTATCAAATTCCAGATGTTTGTGGTAGGACTCTTTCTGTAAATTGGCATGGTTAAATTAGTATGTGTCCTTGTGTTCCCACTGCAGGGCTTTGGGGTGACATGGGCTAGGACTATTGGTCTGATGACTACCTACTTTATGTTGGTGGATTCTGTGCGTCGACATTTCCCAGATCTTTTCAAGCAGCCAGTTCTTGGTCCCTTTCTTACATCTGGACTGGCAGCTACGGCAGCATGGTGGATAGTTTGGCCACTGGAGTACATGAAATGTCAGGTCCAGGCTGACTATGGAAAGTAAGTGTCTTCAGAATTCATTCATGAATACTGTTTATAAAAGAAACCTATGTTGAGTGAAAATTATATATATTTTATATATGTATATAAAGTAAACTCTAAACTTCAAAAAGAAAAAAAGTGGAAATAGATTACAAGTATCACCATAGCTACATGTGCTAAAACACTTGAGAGGCATGACTCTTTCTCTAATATACACTTTATTTCATTCTTATATATACATATACATTTAAAAATACAAGAGCAATCATTAGAATTGGATTTAGAAATAAGTTTTCAAACTTAATTAATTCGTCTCCATAGCATGAAGTGGAGAATGTAATGAGAAAAGAAAAGTTAGGATAGGGAATAATTTTGATGGCAGGACATTGCTGCATTTTGTTCATAAACAATGGTGGATTGGAAAAAAATTGATATTAAGAATATCAAAAATAGAAAACCTAAGTTTTGTACACAAGAAAAGATAAGAGAATTTTCACTATATGTTAGTTCATTGTTTCTGAAGAGTAATATTTCAATTGAAATAGGGTTATCTAATGGACCAAAATAACGTATAAGAAGGTCAGAACAGTGCTGACATTTTAATAAACTAATTATCTAATGTTAATAAAAATGTTCGTTGGTCTCATCTTCTTCATTACTCGAACATAAAGGACTATTGACAAAGTTTCTACGAAAAAGATAGAAATTTAGAGAACTGCATTCCAATCTCAGTCTTGCATGGTGAATCTGACCCGGTCTATTACCACTATAGGTGATATTTTTTTTAACATTGTCATTAATGTATTAACATGTCCATTTTTTAATTTTCAGTTTGTAAATGTTCTTGTCTGGTCAATTATGACAATTACCTTAATATAATATAAATCCCAGAATAAAACTTACATTGTTCCTTTCAGTAAAATGCCTGTTTGGCAGAGAATGCGACTCATAATAAGAGAGAGGGGTGGATTCTTTGCCTTATATCGTGGGATTATGCCTGGTACAATTCGTAGCTTCCTAGCCAACGGGACAAGTATGATTGTGATGTCATATGCACAGAAAAAGGTTTCCGAATTAGGACTGCGTGATTCTTGAACCAGGTCACTGTGACCTAGTTTCTGTTAAACATCAGTATCATGAAGATTTATATCAATAGCCTTATTACATATATTACATGTACTCAGTAATCAAAAATATTTTGTTTTGTTGGGAAATGATAAACTGTCAACCTTCCAACATTCCGCAATACTCCAGTATGGTTGTCCTCAGAAAGAATATCTTTATCCTAGACAACTTTACTACCTTTTATAGAGAGTAATGTGTTGTTATTCTGTCATGAGGCATTAGTTAAGTTTTAGATATGGTAACTCATCTGAAATTCAATGTAGAAGAAGTTATTAATATTAAGGATTCCAAATTTTTTAAATATTTGTTGTGACAATTCTGAATTTCTTTAATAATTTTAGTTTTTTTTTTACATTGTGTTGAATGAAAAATATCGCTTTAGTATTACAATTTGTACAATATGCAAGTACCAAAGGGCTTTCAGAAAAATACCCAGTAGCTGGTAAAGAGATGTTAAATATTGTTACAATGATATTTAATTTCGCAGTAAAGCTTTACTATGCAACAACTCAACAAAAATACTACCATTAAAATCATTATTGTGTCAACCACCAAGGTACTACTACTAGTGTTACTTTCAGAAAATTGAAGTTGAGTCATACATATGTTTTGAACAAACTGATATCATGATTTTGATAAGCAGACATCTATTTTACAATGCCCTGATATTATTGATGCTTTTGGTTGACTTTTATTTTTAACCATTATGTAACATAATTAACTATGGTTATCTTGATGTGAATGTTTTGCCTTTTACTATCCTTTTGTTTTTATATATCTAATGTTTGTGAATGATTGAAAAGGAAACTTTTAAAATGTTATTGCTCCTGTTTTCACTGTTGATAACACAATCCATGGTTATGTTGTTACCATTTATTCACTGCTGTTGTCCTATTCTTGTTACTAGTTACTGTGTGCCAGAGATAATTATTCCTAATCTGATAACTACAAAGAAGATATCTGAAACTTTAATTACAAGTATTACATTTTTTTCTATTATAATCACAAAAAAGGATGTTGGTATTTTTAGGTGTCTGTTTACAAAGGAGCCAGTGTATTATAAACTTAAATTTTGTCTGTGTTCAGATTAAACAGCAATAGAAAGTAACTCTCTCATTTGTCCATGTCAATTGATATTCTAATTAACTGGAGATATAACATGGCATTTTATTGGTCAATGAATATTGGTTGTGTGCTGGGTTTATTGCCAGGTAGACAGGATAATTTTGAGGTGGGGTCTCCTTTTAGTAGAACATTTGAGGAGCCTATTACATGCAAATTAGAGCAATTAGGATAAGTGTCTTGCCCAAGGACACAATCATGTCAGCACAAGGCTGTCTGTTTCTCAGCTTCCTGAGAAACACAAGCCGCCATGGGTAGAAAGCGTTGAACTACGCACATCTTCACCTGAAATTATGTAAGTCAACTCTTTAACTGACTGAGCTATCACAGCCCCCTACATTAGAAATAATTCTTGACAATATAACCATGGTATACCATCAGCAAATTTTTCATTGACAAATCTTGTCGAGATGACGACTGTTACGATGCCAATGACCCTGACACATCTTTACAATGATGTCAGTAACGACAGCATGACCCCATAATTTAAGGTTTATTTATTTCTGCTGTGTGTCACCAGTAAAACTCAATTTTCAAAAGTAAAATCACAATATACTGCCATAAAGTTTAAACACAGCAGTGTCATCCCCTAATTTTCAGTCAGATGAAAATGTTCATGAGATTGGTTGTTTATTATTAAATTTACTTTACTATAAGTCAAACAAAATTAATCATGCAATATCTTGTTTTATTTGCACTTTTTGATGTCAGAATCTCATTTATTTGTCTTGCACCCTTGTACAATTATTTGTTTTTGTTATTTAGATCTGTATCATGATACAGCGTTTGTAACCCAGTGTGATACACTGCCTTGTTTATAAGTGAAAACGTGTATTTATACATATCTACACTTTGTAAGATAACTTGTGTGAAGGGATCATTTGATGGTGATAGTATTTAAAAAATGGTGTTGCAAAAGTATGGTTGAGAATATTTCATATCTCATCAGATTTTCTAATCAGCATTTGACAATAAGGAGACAACTGGAGTATCCAGCATTGTTATAGATACTTATGTTTCCCTTATTTGAATCTTTTTTGATATACATGTTAATTATTATTCTCTTTTTTGTTTTTCTTTCCTGTTTGATATCACAGCTGTATACTAACTTGGTGGTGTAACACCTGTATACTCTACTCGTTTTGTATAACACCTATATACTATACTCATTGGAAACGACTGTATACTCTACTTGTTTGGTATAACACCTGTATACTATACTCTATTATGTAATGTTTGGCAATATACACCCTAATTTTCAGTTTATTATTTGTACTCCATTTATATATTGTACAATATATACATATAAATTCCACTTGAACTACTTTTTTCCATTGTAACTATTAAATGAGTAACATGTCCTTGAAGAGGCAAATTGTTACGGCACTTTTGTAATGTTTATATACAATTACTGAGGGGGATGTTCAATGAAAAAAATCCTTTTTGCTCTCTCTTGTTGACCGTTTTAGCTACATGTACTCCTTTTTGGTCTCTATTGTTGGCCGTTTTAGCTACATGTACTCCTTTTTGCTCTCTCTTGTTGACCGTTTTAGCTACATGTAATCCTTTTTGGTCTCTATTGTTGGCCGTTTTAGCTACATGTACTCCTTTTTGGTCCTTTTTTTTTTTAATGTATCTCCTTATTAGTTTTTTCCAGCAATCTCATGAATATGAATCCATAATAATATGATAATAATATACAACATTTATATAGTGCCCTATATAATTTCACAAATTAATCAAAGGCACTTTACAGTGTATGTAAAATTTCAGTCATGGTATCAATAATACATTATACATCTACATATATGTATGGTATGCTGATCATTGTGTTTGCATGATCACCAGAAAAACACATGTATGTACATGTAGCAGAAACTACTAGTCTAAGAAAAAGCACACCTGAACAGATAGGACTGAACACCCTTTTTGAAAGTGGCAAGTGTTGTTGCTTTCCTGGTTTGTGACAGTAGGTTATTCCATAGTGTGGCGGCAACCTTCCCAAAACATTGCAATAGCATTCACCCGCTTTTCCATGGTCATTGAACTGTCGAAGTGTGTACCCAGCTTTTTAACAACTGGAGCTGCCATAGCTGATCAGTATGTACCAGGTATGTTTATTTGTACCTGTATCATGTCCTGATAATTACTGAAACTATCTTGGGATGTGGAGATTCAATTTATCTGAACAAATTGACTCTGAATTCATGACTTATTATCTTTATCGCTTTGGATATTCTTCTTCTGTTTTTAATACATGTTTTTTTATGTCTTTTTTTATTTTGACTTTCAGTATCTATAAATATAATGTCCAACCAGACTTTGGATCTACTGTCCCCTAGTAGTTACACACCAGACCTGGTGGTCACTTTGTACATATTTTATCTTTAATTTTGTGTAGTTTTGGTTTATAGATGTACAGGTATTGAAGTTCTTTTATGTTATGTGATGATTTTATGATTTATAAGTGCCATTTCACTCTGATATCAAATTTTAGGTACCTTCATTTCAAGGCATAATTGTTTAACAAAAATATATAAAAGATATTTTTTCAAAACATTACATATGGCTGAACATAGTGCTAACTTTATCAAGTGCATGGAAACACAAGAATATACAGTAAGGATGTATTGGACAATGTCTTTGGCAAAGCAAATTATTCAGACAACTATTTAGTTCTCTTATAGTAAATAATATATGATTGTTTTATTTTATGTGTTTTATAATATATATCCATTTATAACAGATTGACATGTGAACATAAGGATGTTTACAGTTGTGATAATTAATGTACAATTCTCATATAATGGTTGTTGTTATACAGGAGTTCTAGTTTTTTAAATAATTTCTTCTTTAAACGTTTTGTAAAACAGTGAAAATTTTATCCGTAAAAACCCAGTCTTTATAGGTGATCTGTATGTATTTCACAATGGCAGCTTAATGTTGCATTGTTCACTCTGATGCAAGTGTTGAGTTATATATACTGGGTATATCTTTAATGATCCATTTATGGAGCAAGATTTTATTACATGTATGTACTCAGGTTTCATTAAGTAGATGTCCCCATAAAGGACCTTTAATGAGTGATGACTGGCTGTCCCCATAAAGGACCTTCAATTAGTGATGATTGGCTGTCCACATAAAGGACCTTTAATGAGTGATGACTGGCTGTCCCCATAAAGGATCTTTAATGAGTGATGGCAGACTGTCCCCCATTAAGGGCCTTTAATGAGTGATGACTGGCTGTCCCCATAAAGGATCTTTAATAAGTGATGACTGGCTGTCCCCATAAAGGACCTTTAATGAGTGATGACTGGCTGTCCCCATTTAGGGCCTTTAATGAGTGATGACTGGCTGTCCCCATAAAGGACCTTCAATTAGTGATGACTGGCTGTCCCCATAAAGGATCTTTAATGAGTGATGACTGGCTGTCCTCATAAAGGACCTTGAATGAATGATGACTGGCTGTCCCCATAAAGGGCCTTTAATGATTGATGGCAGACTGTCCCCATAAAGGGCCTTTAATGAGTGATGACTGGCTGTCCCCATAAAGGACCTTTAATGAGTGATGACTGGCTGTCCCCATAAAGGGCCGTTAACGAGTGATGACTGACTCTCCCCATAAAGGCCTTTAATGATTGATGGCAGACTGTCCCCATAAAGGTCCTTTAATGAGTGATGACTGGCTGTCCTCATAAAGGACCTTGAATGAATGATGACTGGCTGTCCCCATAAAGGGCCGTTAACGAGTGATGACTGACTCTCCCCATAAAGGCCTTTAATGATTGATGGCAGACTGTCCCCATAAAGGTCCTTTAATGAGTGATGACTGGCTGTCCTCATAAAGGACCTTGAATGAATGATGACTGGCTGTCCCCATAAAGGACCTTTAATGAGTAATAGCAGGCTGTCCCCATAAAGGACCTTTAATGAGTAATAGCAGGCTGTCCCCATGAAGGACCTTTAATCAGTCATCTTTAAAGAGGCCCTTTATTGACTTGTGAATAATTGATTACACTGTCCTATGATATATATTTTTGTGGGTCAAAATATCACTTTCATTGACACGCATCACAAGTCAATGGCCTCTTTTTCTCTAAAACATCCATTTCAGCAAAGAAAACTGTTTTTATCATACTTTACAGAAGGTTTTATACTTGGACCAGTTAAGAAATGTACAAACTGGACATTGGTGTATAGTTATGCTGCCAGGATGTATTTTTTTTTTTTTTCTATGTTTTAGTCAATGAAATGCTTCTACCCTCATATGGGCAGTTAGTCTGTTTAACTAAAACTTGTGACACAAAAGAAATCACCTAGGAGTGAGGAGACGGAGATTATGTGAGATGTATGTTGATGATAAATGTGTGATCAATAAAAAAGGAAATTGAATCTTTTAAGGTGTTGACAGTTTTACACAAACCAGTGTCGCTAATCCCTGTGTTTTCTTATCAACCGCATCAAACTGACCAACATACATGTTTTAAAGGGATGTTAAAGGAACAAGTTGTGATTTTTCTGGATGTTCTGTACCTTAATTTATATAATCCTTTCTAATGACTTAAAAAAAAAAAAAACTATTGTCAGCATTGAAATATCTTCTTGTGCTGAATTAAGGTTAAATAAATTAGACAGGTGGAGTTGCCTCTGGCTTGTTAAAATTAGACTGCCTAAATAATGATTATGAGAATGTAATACCAGTGCAATGTCTGATCCAAGCAGATGTGATTCTGTAGATTTATTTGAAAAAGACCAAATTCTTCCTTTAGTTTTATCTAGAAAATACATTTATTCTAATTTATAAACTGCCGTACAAATAATTACAAAAATGCATGAAAAATCACTTGTAGCTAGTATGTAATTAGATCTGAATTGAATTAGTTGTCACATTTGTTTTCAATGTGTTGCATCGTTGCAGTTTTGATGCAATCAGGACCATTTGTCTAAATATCCCTTTAATGAATTAATTACACCAAGAACAGCATTGCATCTTGAAAAGCAATATATTGCTGTAATAAGACAAGAGGCCAATAAGGCCTGTATCACTTACCTGACTTTCTTCGGCTGAAATTGCTTCATCCAGTCTAAAGGAAAAGGAATTCTTAATGTTTATACTGGTTTCTTTCTTGGGTCCCTCCCCGTTTCCCCCAACGGGTCAGCAAAAGCATTTGTACCAAAGTCTTCTTTACCCAAGAATACTTCAAACTGAACTGGAACAGAATCCTGATATTCCTACTGAAGTAGATTTTTTTTAAAGAATTTGCTCTATTTTCTGTATTGGGCCTCGCAAACTCCCACCTCTTGGGGCCGATACCTACAGTTTATACAAATTTATTGCTGTCTTCACTCAGCAATGCTTCAGACCAAATTTGGGTAAAATCCAATCAATCCTCCAGAAGGATTAGGATTTTACAGAATTTACAATCCCGCACAAAAGGGCAGAGAACCAATATTTTTATAAAACTTGTTCCCCTTCATCCAAAATTGCTTCACACCAAATTCAGGCAAAATTTAATCCTTTCTACAGAAAGAGTAAGGCACTTAAAGAAATTACTAAATTTCCACTTGTGGGCTCCAAACTTGGGCCTTGAGAAGACAGAGAACCAGTATTCAAACAAACTTTTCCCCTTCTTTCTCCAAGGATGCTTCTAACTAAATTATGTCAAAATCTGTTCTGTTGTTCATAAGAGACAATTTTAAGTGAAAAATTGACTGATGTCCGATGGACGACAGACACCACACCATGGCAAAAGTTGACTGGGCCTTTGGACCAGAGGAGCTAAAAGCTGCACTTGAAGGAAGTACAACATAATGTTCACTGGGATTAATAAATATGAAAATAATTACCATCCTTAAATACGAAATGTCCTGTATTTGTCATTCAAAATCAAAAACACTATGTTGTCATGATACGGACATAGCAATATTGGTCTAAATGGTATGCAATATTTCGTTGAATACACCTCCCATATTTCCTGCTAAAGTCTAAGGTGTTGCAAAATGATAAATAGTCACCATTCAGAAACACAATCGAAGCAGACAGGTTACTATCAAACTGTATAGAGGGAAATATTTGCCCTGGGTTTTTCGCTCTTCAATAGAACTGTTCATTCTTTCCCATCCTTCAACTCAACTGAAAATGTATATATAAAGGAATGTTGTTCAGGTTTTATACAAAACTTCAGTTCACTTTTGAAAAACATTTCACTCTGTGGACAAGTTTTCTTGTAAACTGTATAAAGACATCACACTCTAATGCTGGGTAGTCCCGGTTAAATGTTTTTTACGAGAATCACAACTAGGACAACCAACATTTACTGGATCAATGAGAATTTATTGATGAGACAGGAAATATCAGTATTCCTGAACAAAGAATTGGTCATCATATTTCTAATCAACGTACAATTAGTATTTCTACACCAAGACAGGGCTTGGTAAAATAATGTCAAACTGCTATTACACTTTATACCATGTAATATACAACATTCCATTCCACTATGAAGGGTGTGATTGTTCAAGTTATCCCTCAATAAGCCAATGGGGCCAACACATGAGCTCTGACTCTAAGTAGGAATGCCTGGTTAACGCCAGGCAATAATATAACATTTGTTCATATTTCTACTAAAATAGCATTCCATATGAATGGGCTTATTAGCAGACATGGACTTTTTACTGGAAAAAACGGTGATTGAACTGCAGATTAATATGGACCTAAAGAATCAATGTATTGTGTATAGAAGCTAGAAGCCATTACAACGTTACCGGGAGATGACTTACAGATCCCAGTGGTGTAATATAGTCTCTCATTCAATCAGTTTACTACTGGCCAAATGAAACAACATGAAAAAGTAAATATCAATACTGAATTACAAAGATCATCACAATATTAAAATAGTCATTCTAGTCTGATGGTTTGTCATATAAATACCAGGTATGAACAGTGAATGATGATGAACATACATGTACATGTATATTATTTTAAAATTCGTTAATTTTAGTGAGATACCAAATGTCTAAAATGTCATATCAAAGCTAAAAGAGTATTATTAGTCTTAATTAAAAATAATTTCATATATTCCAATATTAAAATAATATTTTAATGAGACTTAAATGAGGATAATTTAAAATTCTTCACTAGACATAGTAGGAATATTTGCACACTTTCAAAATCCAATGAGATATTATTTAAAATTGAAATCCTATATTTGAACATTGAACAAAAAATGATTTCCTCCTATTTCCCTTTCACTTTCACACTAGACTTTCAGTCATCACATGCAAACACATCATCACAGATTTCATGTGCATAGAACATACTTAAGTTAATAACCAACCAATCACAATCCTCTTACACAAGACATTCGCCGATAAAACATTAATTACTTTCTATATGTTGGCTACATGATATTGTCTTCCTGATTTGAGAGGCGTCATATTGTTTTTTTCATAATACATATATAGTGGAGTCCCCATCAATTCATTTATCATGGTTACCAGTTAAAAAGACTGTATAAGTTCTATAAATAGGAATGAGAACCATTCCCTGATGTTGAAGAAAAAATCTTAACAGAGGTGGCTGATAGACAGAAAGTTACTGATGATGGCTGATAGTAGAAAAGTACTACAGATGATGGCTGATAGAGGGAAAGTATTACTGATGGAGGCTGATAGAGGGAAAGTATTACTGATGGGGGCTGATTGAGGGAAAGTATTACTGATGGGGGCTGATAGAGGGAAAGTATTACTGATGGGGGCTGATAGAGGGAAAGTATTACTGATGGGGGCTGACAGAGGGAAAGTATTACTGATGTGGGCTGATAGAGGGAAAGTATTGCTGATGGGGGCTGATTGAGGGAAAGTATTACTGATGTGGGCTGATAGAGGGAAAGTATTACTGATGGGGGCTGATAGAGGGAAAGTATTACTGATGGGGGCTGATAGAAGGAAAGTATTACTGATGGGGCTGATAGTAGAAAAGTATTACTGATGAAGGCTGATAGAGGGAAAATATTACTGATGGGGGCTGATAGAGGGAATGTATTACTGATGGGGCTGATAGAGGGAAAGTATTACTGATGGGGGCTGATAGAGGGAAAGTATTACTGATGGGGCTGATAGTAGAAAAATATTACTGATAATGGCTGACACTGGGAAAGTATTACTGATAGAGGCTGATGGAAAGCAATTCTTTACTCATGGGACTGAATCAATGACTCCCCATCACATAAAACTTAAATTATCAAGGACTATAGTAAATGTTAACATCATAACTCAGGACCCTGAACAGGATTGTTAAAAAATGACATATCAATTCAATGATAATTCACAGGTTTCATCACACCTAGCTGCAAATGATGTCAGTATTCCAAAGTATCACAATGAGCTGTTTTTTACATTGCAACTAAAATCCTGATATATTAGTGAACCAGTTTAACCTGAACCTGTGCTGCTACTAATTCACATCTAAGTCAGTATTGGAGTGAGCATGCTAGCACAAGACCATGTTGCTGGACAGATGTCCAATCCAACCAATTTCTACATTGAGTTGGCTTCTTGGCACTGCTTTCTGATAGCTCATATTCAAGTCTATATGCTGCCATTAAATAGCAAACACTGCTGCACTAATGTCCACTGAATTTCAAGTGCATGTGTACTATGGACATACACATTAAATCATGTGACCACTTTGTATACAACAGACTCCTATGCTAAATTGGGTGTCCATGCGTGTACTACAGACATCTAGATTACATTGAATGTTCGACACGAGCACTACGGACTCCCACACTCCACCGAGTCTTCACACATGTACTACCGACGCCTTCGTTTAAATGGTCCCTCAGCACTGCTTTCTGCCGACCTCTTCTTAGAATTATTAAATATCTGGAAAGTTCAAAAAGTTAAGGACCACAACAAATAGCATCCATAATCAGGTTTCATGTGTAGAGATTATTATAGAATTCATTTCTATATCAAGTCACATAAGATTTTATTTTTGGAATATCATATCCAAAACTAAACATGCATTTGCTGAGTATCAGATACCAGTAAAACAATATTAAATACATCTTGAGAGAAATTTTACGGGGTTGTGCGATAGTCGAGAGAGCAGTAGACTAATGCAACCTAAGGAGTATGTTTGTTAATCCAACCTCGGGTAGTTTCTATGTCATATAAAAAATCCTATGCTGTGTTGGTTGTGTCCTCCTGCATGATATCCTATACCAATTGTTTAGGATAGAATGTGGAGCACCTCCCACATGATATTCAGTGATATAGCCAACAGCTTCTTCAAAGGTACCCTGTCCCATAATGACTGACTTTTCATAGGCAATCAACCCAGTAAACAAACAAATTTAATTTCAGCAAAGACAAATGAAATGTTAATCACAAGTTATTCTAATACTAGTGGTTTTATACAAAGGATATTTGCTGGGGTTCGCTTCCTGTTGTAAGATTCCAGTCAAAACAAACTCTGCATTCACCACTGGAATGTTAGCCTTCAGTGCATCCTGACAAAGTTTATGGTCCTCTTCACAGGATACAACCACTGTCCGTTCCACCGACTTGCTTGGCATATTTTCAAGGTACTACAAAGATGTAAAATGTCACACATCAATATTACAAAAGAACATGACAATGAAGATCAGGTCCGATGCACAATATTTTTCTTTAACAATTCTTGATCACACACCATAGAAAAATGATTACCTAATATTCAAGTTTAAAATGCAATTCAAGGAGATGAGAAATTCACCCATTAAAGAAAGTTTTTTCCCCCCTATAAACACCTTCAATTCATCTCTTTAACACCTGACTAAAATGTAGATAATGCATAAATCATAAGTCCATTTAAGTTTTTATCACTTACCTGAGCTCCAGCACATTCTAGAATATCTGAAATGAGAAACAAAATTCAATGAGTGGAATGTAAGTTATTGATAAAACCACATAGGTGTTGGAATTTCATAACCAAATTGTCCGATGAGGATATCAATCTTTTATCATAATATTACACAGATTCAAGACAATTCTGTAATACCCAGTACATAAAGTGATCTCTTGAAACATTTCTCTTATTTTTCATTCACATTGTGAACATTTTTTCTGTCCTATTTTTAAAGTAGCACATCTTGGATATCAATGGCAAAATTTCAACAAAGAGAAAATTCTTTTGTTTTTTCTTTTGGGTTTTTCAATTTTCATCACAAAAGTATACCATGTTAATAGTGCACATATTGGGCAAAGATAAATTTAGAATTCTCCATTTTAAAGTGAAATATAAAATGTAATACTAAACTGTTCCAACTTAAGATTCACAAAAAAATTACAACTTAAACTTAATTACAATCCACTATTCTCTTTTACCACACAATATGATAACAAGTGACTGAGAGACTGACCTTTCATCTGTGAGGGATCAGGACGTGTGGACTTTGTTACATGAATGCGATAATCAAGCAGCACGCTGGCTTGACTAGCTCGTTCAATGGATCGCTGGAGAGAAAACTTATACTGTTTCTCTGCAGCTGTGTCCTTCACTAGGTAGGGCGTCACATCTAGAGGTAAGATAGCACACACTATTACTAAAGAGTTTCATTGAATACATCTTGTCAACATGTCAGCTGCAATCACATTTGCTTATTGAAAGGATTTGTTATATAATACATATACAATCTATCAACATTCAGGAAATGGAAAGAAAGGGAGGCAAGAGAGTCACCCTCAACGGTCATCTAACAATTGACGAATGGATGGACAAACCACAGAAATCACTGATGGTGGTCTGAAAAATCTGATGGATTCAGATATTGAACATTCCTTGAATGTATCAGAAACTCAGAAATGGTAGATTTTGTTCATGAAAAAATGTAGCACAATTATGTCAGAAAATGGCTACTGTGGTTGCCATGTTGAAGTTTTGATCAGGCCGAAAAATAAGAACAAATCATCATCTCTTTCTTTTCTGTAACAAATCAAACTCCAAATATTTTTCTCATTGGTGTGAATGAAACTTGAGAAGTAGTTCTGACTATTTACTCTTGGTGAGTTATGTTGGATTTTGGACCAAAGATTTGGTCAAGACAATCTTAGGATCACTTCATGCAAGTTTGACATCATTGCTTCTCCCTAATAAAGATTCAGGCCAAATATGATTGAAATCTACCTTGGTATTATGAAGGAGAAGTGTTTTGAAGCAAATATTGTCTAACTTTCTCTTCTGAGGCCCCACCCCCAAGTCCTTTCAGGTTGAATCAACTTTCTGAATTTAAGAAACGATTTCCCACTATAAATGATATCTCAGACCAAATTTGGTTGAAATCCATCCAAGCATTAAGAAAGAGTGGCATTTTGAACCTGTGAGTCCCTTGTGGTCAAACAAACTTTCTAAATCTAAGAAGTAAATATGACAATATCTACTGATTTAAGGAAGAGAAGCGTTTTGAAGCAAAGTATTGTCTAACTACCCTTTTGGGGCCCCATTTCAAGGTCCCTAGGGGTCAAATCAACTTTCTGAAGTTAAGATATGATCCCCCCAATGTTTCAGACCAAATTTGGTTGAAATCCATTGAGTTATTAAGCATGACTAGTGTTTAAAAGGGGAAGTTTATGGAGGCTGACAGCAGATGGCACATGGCACATGACAACGGACAATGCCTGATTGCAAAATCAGTGTCAAGAAAAAACCTAAATATGCCATTTCGGGCTGCGGGTAAATAATCACTTTTACTCTTCTTTATGAGGCACATTGCCTTCATTCCGATAAAAGGATCTATCAAATCCTGACAGTTAACTCTGATTGCGGTATCAATGACAGATTTCTTGATTGATAGAAAAACGATGAATAGAAACATTTTTAGGCATCCTATCTATAACCAGGTTGACATTTTAATGGTAATTTTCCTTTTAAAATGATGCAGAAGTCTTACAGAACTGGAACCAATGACTAATCTGTCATACTACTTACCCTGTATAAATGTACCAGTTTGTTTACTGCTGCTGAGCCAGGTTGGCTGGACAATAGGAATGCCTCGAGAAAGACAGCACAGCAGTTTGACTGTTCGTCGCACCTGTGTGGAGGAATGAAAGAGCTAGATTTTGCATACTTCTTGTATGTAAAGTGAAAGAGAATTTAAGTACTTCATTTGTACAACATCATCAAGCAAAAAGAGTATTTCACGTAGATCTAATACATTCTGACAGACCTCGACAGCTAAAGAATGTGTAGATGTATATAAGTGTGCACATAGAAATGTGGTCTATACCTGTAAGTTACAATATAAGAAAGTTCCAGCACTAGAGGTCTATTTAAAGGGTAAAAAAATCACTACAACTATCGCAGGAGATACCTATAGTCTGGCCAAGCGTTCCGATTTAACTTTTGGTAGGGGATGAAGTGGGACACGTCATTCAATCATGAATACCTCATGTGTTTAGGTAATTCAATAATTGACCTTATTTCTAATCCATAAGGCCCTGTTGAATCATCTTGTATTATCTGTTTCAGAATGGCAGAAGTTTAACATCACTTTCTATGAACTTGACCCCTTGTGATTTTTTTGGTAGGAAGATTTTTTTATGATTTTTTTTCATCAAGTATCATGTATCTTCTGAGCAGGATTTAAATAAATTAGCACAGTGATTTTCAAATGTGTGCTTTTTGTTGTTTTTTATTTTTACCTTGTCAGTGACTAGATGAGTACAGTCTCGGACAGAAGTCACCATTTCTCCACCAAGATCCTTCACAGTCTGTAACAGATAAAATATTGATGTACACATGTATAGTTACATATCAGGCATAAATATGGCTGGCCAGGAAACAGACACTATAAAAGTAATTGCTGTGTTGTTGTTTTATTTACAACTTAGGCACATACAAAGTATACAAACTTCTGATAATTTTTTTGTTTTTAACTATGTCATTTGAACTAGACGACAGATACCTACAGATTAATCTTTTCTATATCATATACCTTCTGGCCTTGTTCGTCTACCATCCCTGTGAACATCACACGTGGCTTAGGGTCCATGGACTTTCTTCTCAGAGATGGTGAGTCCACAGATAAAACATCTGTTTTAGACTGGACAGGTGTGCCTGGAGTAACTTTATCCTTTGTCTTCTTGGCTGGTGACTCAACTGCATCCTGACAAGTTACAAACATTTCATAAAAGTAAATTTTGTTAAAAAAGGACTGCTCTCAAGAAGTAAATCCATCACACATGTTATAGAGCAATAAACGAAGTCCTTATAACAACAAGTAGCCCAAATTATCTAGGATTTCATTCTAACAGCCCTGATTTATGAATAAACACACAATACTGTTATAACTGTGATGTGTCTAACCACACTGCCTTTACCATGTAAGCATAGAATTACTGCTTTCATTTATATAGAATACCTTTTTGTATGAAATGATATTGGTTAAATGATATATATGTGATTTATTTGACTCAACTCTGATGAAATTTCACCTTTGATGAATTCTTGAATGAATTTGGCAAACCTGATCTGACTACCTTTAGCTTTTCAACATAAATGATATAAAATGCAAATGTACCTGGTCCTGACTGTGTCCTCGTTTACCTCGAGATGCTGTCTTTCCTTTACAACTTCCACCTGGATCTTCCTGATGTGTCACACTTACAGATGTGTCAGCTGTTTTCCTTCCTCTGCCTCTCCTACCTTCACTTAAGTCATTTTCCTCACTACATTTTGTTATATTCACATCCTCTTTCAAATTTGACACTTTACCTCTACCCTTATTCCTGCCTTTACTTTGCTCAACTTTACTTTCCTTATCAGTAGGTTCGTCTTTAGAATCTTTATCATCAGAAACACCAATGTCCTTAGTTTTATTTGCACCTCTAGGTTTAGTCTTTCTGGAGGTAGAGACCTCACTTTCTGATTCCTCCATTTCTTCACTATTCACCGACACACTGTCTCCTTTTTGTTTAGCCTTTCCTCTACTAGTCCGACTCTCAACTTTACTGTCCACACTCATCACTTCTACACTCTGCTTACCACGAGGTTTTCTTTCAGAGATGCCACTCATATTGGCCAAATCTGTAGTTGAAATTTCCTCACTCTCCACAGAATCCTGCGAGGAATCTATCACTTTTTTCCCTCTACCCCCTCGCCTTGATTTTGGAGGCTCATTGACCTCAGTCATTTCTTTTACAATAACTTCCTCCTTGTCCTCTAGTGCCAGTTTAGAATTTCTTCCCAGTATCCTTCCTCTTCCAGTCCTCCTTCCTTTCTTTTCTTCTTCTTTGTCCTCCTGCTCAGTAATAACCTCATCTACAGTCTTACTAGTTTCCTCCTTGACAAGTTCTACTTTGTCAGAATTATTGGCGACCTGTTTGGATCTTCTTCCTCCTCTAGATACTATTTCTTCACTAGAGTCCTTCACTTCCTTATCTTTCTTACTCTCTTGTTTTGAAGTATGAATATCTTTCTCAATTTTTTCTCCTTCTACTACAGCTGAATCCTCCTCTTCTACTAGTTTTGACTTGGATCTTTTACCCCGTCCTCCAGAAAGAACAATTTTATCTTCAGCAGCTTCCTTCTCTGTTGCCTCCTTTTCAGAAAGTTGTTTTGATTGCCGTCCTCTAGACATTTTCTTTCCTTTTTCTATCACTTCCTCTGCTGGCTCACATTCTTCTTTATCTTCTTCTGTAAATTTTATTTCAGAAGTAGCCAGTTTGGATTTCCGTCCTTTAGAACTCCTTCCTTTTACTTCCCCCTCTTCGACTGAGGGAGATTCTTCAGTGTGTACTGGATTATCAGGAGTAGATTCAGTGCTAGCAGTTTCCACTGCCTCTTCTACCTTTCTTCTACCACCTATCCTAACAAGCTTAGTCTTGTCTTTTTCCACTACTACACTGGAGTCTCCACTCCCTCCAGGCTGGACTGACCTTTTACCTCTACCTCTTGCTTTGACCTCTTCCACAGAGGTTTCAACCTTAGACCCTTTACTACTATTTTCTACAGGCAATTGTTCGACCTCCTTATCACTCTTGTCAACTGTTTTGAGAATGGTATCCTCAACTTTTTCTGAATCCTTTGTTAAACTCCTACCTCTTCTTGCATCTCTTTTTCCATTCACATTACTTTCCTCTTTTTGTTTTACATTTTCAGACAATGTTGATTTTCTTTCTGTATTTATATCCTCAATTTTTGGTTCTTTGGTCACTTTGACCCCAACTGACCTTCTCCCACCCCTTTTTCTTACTATGGTTGTCTCTACTTCCATTTCTGGCTCTTTCTTTCCAAATCCTTCACCATCCTCCATTTCAGTCATTTCTTTCTTTTCGTCCTTTTCAAGTGCATCATGATCTAAGTCTGAGGCAGGAAGTGACCTTCGACCTATCCTAACAATCTTAGTCTTGTCTTTTTCCACTACTACACTGGGGTCTCCACTCCCTCCAGCCTGGACTGACCTTTTACCTCTACCTCTTGCTTTGACCTCTTCAACAGAGGTTTCAACCTTAGACCCTTTACTACTATTTTCTACAGGCAATTGTTCGACCTCCTTATCACTCTTGTCAACTGTTTTGAGAATGGTATCCTCAACTTTTTCTGAATCCTTTGTTAAACTTCTACCTCTTCTTGCATCTCTTTTTCCATTCACATTACTTCCCTCTTTTTGTTTTACATTTTCAGACGATGTTGATTTTCTTTCTGTATTTGTATCTTCAATTTTTGGTTCTTCAATCACTTTGACCCCAGCTGATCTTCTCCCACCCCTTTTTCTTACTGTGGTTGTCTCTACTTCCACTTCTGGTTCTTTCTTTCCAAATCCTTCAACACCCTCCATTTCAGTCACTTCTTTCTTTTCATCTTTTTCAAGTGCAACATGATCTAAATCGGAGACCGGAAGTGACCTTCGACCTCTGGGTTTTCTGCTAGTAATTTCTTTTTTTTCTTCAACAGAAATTGCAGGTAATGACTTTCGACCTTTTGTCACATTTTTCTTTACTTTTACCTCTGCAGTTGCAAGTTTTGACCTTGTAGCTGTGTTTCCAGTAGATGACTCTGCTTTCACATCATCATCACCATTAGTTGATTCTGAAGACTGGCTCTGAAATAAGTGGCATAAATACATTCAAAATATTCAACTGATACTGTAGTATTACCTTATCTAGCAATTTATAAATATGAATGCTTGCAACACAAACCTTAATGCCATTTTGAACAATAAAACAATGCCACATCCATAATTAATCTGACGTTTCATTTATCGGTCACTGAAACATCAATCATTCCTTAGAAATGATAATGGGTAAAATTGATAAGTTCAAATGATGCACTATGTCTATGATCTATTATTTTTATACATCCCAAAAAGATGATAGTCACTGTATAGTGCTTTCCAGCAAATTTATTCAAATTCCTGGTATGTATTATTTAAAGCTAACCCTTTCAAATAGGCACTTAAAACTTACCTCAACAGCAAATTTTACCCTCTTTGGAGATGGGCTTTTTTGGCGTTTCTCTGGATTAGAGAGAGCAGACTTGTGAGGCGAGGTTTGAGGGAGTGGTATGATTGGACTTTTCCCCAAGATTTCATCACTATCTTGGACAACCTTTAGAAAGAATACAACAAAATATACAGTCAACTCCAGAAGTTTTCATTCTCAGTTTAAAAACTTCATCAATAATCACGTTGGCGACAAAGACATGGAAAATTGATTTGTATCAGGAATATAACTTTCAACAATAACATTGTCAAATCAGTAAGCATTACTACCTAAAATTTCAGGTACTGATCAGTTGACAGAGTAAGGAGTTTTACTGACAGAAACCCAGATCCCACGGTACCTTCTTAATTTAGGTTTTTATAGAGAGATAACAGTTTTTGTGAGTTGTTTATGTAGCAATGATTGTGGATGTGTAAATTCACCAAGGCAATTACTTGTCACAGAAATAAAAATGCACTAAAATTTAATTTTGCAAACTGAAATATTTACAGTAAATATACCAAATCAGCTAGACTTCAACACTGTTGTATTATAATTTTCAATTTCTCAAGCTGTCATAGAATAACTGTTCTTATCTGGAAATAAAAACATGACTGATGATAAGCTCATTGCTACCTGTTGTAGTTCTGCAGTAATTCTATCATTTCCTTATCCTGTTACAAGCTAACTGCCTCACTTTGTGTCAGAAATATTTTAGCCTTCTTTGTTTATAGCAGGACAATATAGTATATTGAAAGGATGTAATAAACTGACCTCCTCACTAAGTGGTGGGGTGTCCTCCTCATCAACTTCTCCTCCATATCTCTGTGTGGCTGCCTCAGTTTCTGCAAGGCAAAACTAAATTACAATTGACATAACATAGCATATTTCATCTCAAATATTTGAAAATCAGATGTAACTAAATCTGAGAGTAATCATTAAGATAAACAAATCATATTTTTTACTTTTGAAATTGCATAAATAACGATGGCTTTAAAATCCTTTTTTTCTTCCATACTTTAAACACTACATTCTCAAAGCAATATAAAAAGTATAATATTTTCATATATAATTGACAGTTTCCTTCTATGTGTATCACCATGTTAACAACCTGGGTCTCCTTGTAGTGTCTAGTGGCTAACTCAATGAACAACATATGGAAGACTTGTTGCATGTCATACACAGCAATTAGGGTAAAATGTCATGCAGAAGGATAACAACAACAACAACATGGAGCAGTCCATTATTATATTCCTTAGAAACACAAACCACCATGGGTAGGGGCTAACTACACACCTCTGATCTTCACCCGAAGTTATGTAGGTCAATGCTCTACCAAAAGAACTATCCCTGCCCTACAATTACTGATATACTTTTGGATCTTACCCTCTTCACTTGGTTTAAGTGCTGGTAAGTTGATAAGGTCCTTCTTTACTTTGTCTTTTCCACGCCTGGGGGATGCAGACTTTGCTTGTCCACTGACTTGGGGTTGGTCCAAATCCTCCTCATCTACTTCCATACTATACACTTGTGTTGCTTCTTCCCCACCAGATACATATGGTTCCTCTGTGGTCTCTCCTAGATTACCCTCAGCTACTTGCGCTGCGCCCTCATCAGTGGCCTTCTTTCCCATACCTCTTCTCCTTGGACGTCCCCTCTGACCCTTGACCTTTTCTGTAGATTTCTTAACAGTGTTATCTGACATGTCCTCAATAACCTGTGTGGCTTGGTCATCACCTATTTCAGCATCCTCTATAACCTGTGTAACCTTCTCTTCTGCCTTTTTTGCTTTACTTTTTCTTCTTTGACCTACAGCTGCTTTGGATTTAAGGGAAACTTTTTGCTGAATTTCAGATTCAACACAAGCATCATCAATAACTTGCGTGGCTTCATCTTCAGCAGCATTGTCATTTACAATGTTACTGGTGTCTATCTCAGTCACCTTAACACCTTTTCTTTTTCTGCTGCTTCCCCTGACCTTTTTTCCATCTGGCATATGTTCTGGTAAATTAATATCCTCTACAACTTGTGTGGCCTCATCCTCACCTGATGTTACATCATCCATATCTTGAGTGACATCCTCTGCAATAACTTTCTTTGTGTTACTTTTGCTGCCTGGTCTTCCTCTACTTTTTTCTTCATCATCAATCCCATCTTCTATAACTTGTGTGGCATCATTCTCTACATCTGTGGCATCATCTATACCCTGAGTGTCTCCTTCTTGGTTTACTGCAGTTGTATCATCAGTAACACCTACTGTTGCTTCAAAAGCAAGAGTGGCCTCTTCTGGGATAGCCATTGTGGCTTGGTCTGTGACAGCAACTGTGGCTTCTTCTGTGATAGCCATTGTGGCATCTTCTGTGACAGCCACTGTGACCTCCTCTTCTGTGACAACCATTGTGGCCTCTTCTGTGACAGCCACTGTTGCTTCTTCTGTGACAGCCATAGTAGCCTCTTCTGTGACAGCCATTGTGGCCTCTTCTGTGACAGCCACTGTTGCTTCTTCTGTGACAGCCATAGTAGCCTCTTCTGTGACAGCCATTGTGGCATCTTCTGTGACAGCCATTGTGGCATCTTCAGTGACAGCCATTGTGGCATCTTCTCTAACTGCTACTGTAGCATTTTCTGTAACTTTCGTTGTGGAATCTGTAACTGACAGTGCATCATCCTTCTTGAGAGAAAATCTCTCTGTTTCTTCTATTACCATAGTTTCCTCTTCTGGAAGAGCCACAGTTGCATCCTCAGTAACTGCCACAGTGGCACCTTCAGCTACTGCCACAGTTGGATCATCTGTGACAACAGCCACTGTTGCATCCTGAAGACATTGCGTAGCAGTGTTTTCTGATTTCCCCTCCTCCTCAACAACTTGAGTAGCCTCCTCATCCCGGTCTTCAATGACCTTGGTGGCCACTACCAGTTGGGTAGCATCTTCATTCACCATCTGTGTTGCAACATCGTCATCACCATCTGCCACATCTGTAAATGCCTGTGGGGCCTCCTTGACCTCACCATTTTCTTCTTCCTCCTCTGTGTCTGCCATGTCACAGGCCAGGGTCGATGCAGCAAAGATATGACTAACATCTATGTTTTCGTCTTCTCCCTCAGTCTCATCATCTATCATAGACTCTTTCAAATTCTCCTGTCATTAAAAGAAAGCATGCAAGGTCTGATGAAAACAAATTTTAAGTGTTGTATTGAGCTGTGACTGAAATTTAAAAAACAGTTAACACTATGGAATTCCATGCTGGCCTTATGATACATAACAACAGCAAATAAAGAGTAAGATTTCAGTCTATCATGTATATATCATTAATGAGTTTCTTTTTCAGCACAACTGATCAAACAAGTAAATATTGTATTTACTTAACACATCCAATTAATTCAATATAGTGCAAATGGAGAATAAATCTTTAAATCAAGAACTGAGGCTTCATTTGTGTTTTCTTTTGATAAAGCATGAGTGCCATGGCATAACTTTATCATGGTAACCTACATCTTCAAATGGATGTTTTATGAACATTTAAGACTGGTCCTAATTCCTAGGGCTGATCACAATGCTAAGTTTATAATAACATAAATACTTTTTACTTTTCCAATCACAATAACTCTTCTGCACATGACTGTTTCATACCTGTGTATATTCACTAATTATACAAAAATGTTTTACAGTCCTAACGAGTAAGGATTCCTATATAAAGTTTGACATTGAGCAGCTCTTGCTTACCTCATTGCTGTCCTCTTCACTGTCTGCAACAAAGGTCTTCACAGGTTTTTGATCATCTGCAACCTTCTGGACATCGCTACAGAACATACATCATTATAATTACAACAGACAGTATATTATTAGAAAGAGGTTAGATTCTCACTTAACTTCTATATAAGTGGTCAGTAAGTGAACAAGTGGTCAGTGATGTAAAGGCTAACAATTTCAAACTTTTAAGGATGTCTCTTAGAAACAAATCTTTATATTCTTGAGGAATAATAATGTCTAAAATATCTGATCTATTTCACTTCCATGAAAACATCATCACACTTACCCTTCATCAGTAAATGCTTGAGTTTCTGCGGCAAAGATGGCAGGGGATACATTTTTAGCATTCTCATCATCAGTAGCATCTATTAATCAGCAAAATATTTAGTTTTATCATCAGTAGCATGTGATAATCAGTGTTTTCTTTATTGAAATCATCCATCATCTGTATTGAAAATTTTCTGAAGGATAAGATATGCTTCTTTGCCAAAACCTGAGTACATGGTCAATCTTTCAAGACAATAAGTGTCCTTATGGGTCAAAATGATTCATCTGTTCTGCAACTTACAAAGACTACTTTGATTGTTCCGAAGTCATATTCTGCATGTAAGATAAAAGTCCATTCCCCAAGAATGTTACTACACAAATACCATGACCCACTGTATTTTGGTTACTGAGGAGAAGTTTAAAGTTCCTAAGTCATCTGAGTGTGTGACCTTAAAAGTCAGTCAAGGTAATTCATATGAACAAACATGGTAGCCTTTCATCTCAGAATTCTACTGGCTCTTTGTCATAAACCTTGGCCTCTTGGTTATTGAGATATATTTAAAGATTGTGACAGTAAAAGTGGGCCAAGATTATTCCTTTCAATAAACTTTGAAACCCTTTATCCAAACATGCTTCAGGCCCATTATCATTATCTAGGGCCTTGCAAGCGGGTCAACGTCATTAATTTTCAGAAAATTTAGTAGCCCTTTATTCACAGCATGCTGCATGCCTAATATCAGTATCCTGCACCTTTTGGTTATTAAGAAGTTGTTTGAAGATTTAAAACAAATTTGACACCTTGACCATACAAATGACAATTACCATCATCTGATTCACTTTCCATGACATATGCCTGTGTGGCTCCAAACATAGCTGGGCAGACCTTGCTGATTTCCTCTCCTTCCTCCTCTGTCTCCTCCTCCTGGGTATCTGATCCAAGAAAATATTATTTGAAATTTTGTGATGATTTAAACAGTTGAAAAGGCAATCACCATCTGATCTTTATATATAACAAACATAAGACAATCACCATTAGATCTTTATACATAACAAACATAAGACAATCACCATCTGATCTTTATACATAACAAACATAAGACAATCACCATTAGATCTTTATACATAACAAACATAGGACAGTCACCATTAGATCTTTATACATAACAAACATAAGGAAATCACCATCTGATCTTTATACATAACAAACATAAGACAATCACCATTAGATCTTTATACATAACAAACATCAGTTGCTGTAAGCTTGGTATTATCTATAGAGCTTTACACATAATAACACTAGTTAATGTTTGATTAGAATTATAAAGTTTAAACATAATAACACTAGTTGCTGTTCGTTTAGAATTATAAACTTTACACATAATAACACTAGTTGCTGTTCGTTTAGAATTATAAACTTCACACATAATAACACTAGCTGCTGTAAGTTTAGTATTTTCTTTTCCAGAGAATGTTTCAGAAGTTACACAGGGTTGCACTGATTGTCCAGGAATAGCATAGAACAGAGACACATTAACTCTGTGGTTTACCTGCAACAACTTGTGTCTGTAGACTTTGTATAGCTCTGGCTTTTCTTCGATCTTCTTCCTCATCATCTGAGTCTGATTCAGGCAGTACTAATGTGGACATGGCTATAACAACAAAACTATCGGCTATGAACCTGGAAACTGACTGAATCCACAGTACTGGTAAAGATGTGTTTTCAATGAACTGTGAAAGGTGTCATTGGGACTGCTATCCCAACGTGAACTAAATTGTTGTATTACGACCGCAGAATAGTTAAAAACAGGGCCTACTTAATCTTTAAATATCCAGGACCTTTGACAATTTTTTTCTAAGTTTACAGAAAAAACTATAGTTTTAAAATTTGTATAAATTTTTCTTTTCTTCTAAATCTAATATAGTAATGAATCTTACTTGTAGTGCCTACAGCCCCAGGTCGTTTTGGTGGAAGAGGTGTGTCTTGTACAGTCACATTAGTTTTGTGATGGGGGCCTTCTGAAAACATAAGTCATATAATATACTCACTATCTATATAATAGAAGTACCACGGCTTAAAGAGCTGACAGATTTGTAAAATAATTAACACAGAGAATGGTGACTTTTAATCTTGATGTGTAATAAATATATATATCAAAGATCAATACAATTGTGAAATTTAAGTCATTTCACCTTCTTCATCTGAATCTGGTGCCAGGTTTAATGTTCTTCCTGAATGGTAGGCCTGGAAAATAGTGAAAGATTATATACATGAGGTGTTGCTCTCATCACTGCTATTCTGTGAAATGCCAACAATCACAGAAAATTCGACTTTAAGATGTATATTCCCAGAGGGAGCAGCTCTGTCAAAATGACAGTTTACATGTATTTTGTAGTATTGCTATTCTAAATCAACAGATAAACAGGAAATAACCTGATACCACACATCCTTGGTTTATACATATACTATAGATTAAATTGCCTACAGATATTTTTAATATACATTTGACAGTGTTGATGGGAGGAAAAACATCAATCTCTCTGATCTGATAAATTGTGGTAAAGCAGTATATAACACAAAATACCTTGACAATATTTTTTTCAACTTCTGAAAGAAACAATTGTCTTATGAGGATTAAGAACAGAAAAATCAAATATTTTTTTCCATCTGATCAAAGCAGATGAAGCCACTACAGGTAATTGTGATGGTTATTTACCTGTGTTGGTTGCAGAAGATCAACACTGGCATCACTATCATAATCTTCCTCCTCCTCTGTTACAAGTAATGTAGTCCCTTCCTTATCAGCAGTGTCAATACCCTCATCTTCCATAGGGGCTGTCTGGAATTGCTCTGAACCAGTCTCAGATCCTTTGTCATTAATCTATGAAAGAAATGATTGAACAGTTATCAACAAGCATGGTAAATAACCTTCCTGTCAAAACACGAAAAAAAAAAAAAAAAAAATAAAATGAAAAAATAAATAAATAATGACCACAGCATGATAAACACAGTAAAACATGACTTAAAATTCTGAATTGAAGAAAAATATATTAAAAGATGGCTTTTCAAGTTAAGGACATGAACAAGTTGTCCCAATGCATCAAAGTGCTGTTCAATTAAGATATTCATTGTTCTGTTCAGCATGCAATTATGATCTTTTCCTTTATCTGGAGGGTTGGTAGTCATTTCAATCATACATGCATCATGCAGATACTTTGAAAATAACTTCAAATTCCCAAATCTAACATGTCTGTGCTATTAAAAGATGAGTTTGACTTTTGACCAATTAACTTATATCGTAATGTGTCAAACAACAAATTACACAGTATTAATTTAGCACAGAGAATGTTAACCCACCTCCTCTCCGATGTAATATACTGCCTCCACATCTCCAAAGGTGACACTGGTTTTACTTGTTAATTCATACCTCACATCAGGTTTCAGCACAACCTGTCAAGTTAATATCATAAACTTGATTTGATAATTAATATCTCCTTTATTTTCATACTTAATCCTCCTTTTCTCTATATGGCTATGTCAAATGTTTTCTTTTCATACAGGAACTTGTTTTTGACATCAGAGCAATATTATTTTTCAATGTTATTTGATTTCATGCTATTGTTGATTGTCCAAATGATAAAAGACACTTTCTGAGCTCACAGCAAATACAATAATGTACAACATACTTATATAAAATGTCATGTTAGAGATTTATTGATTTTTGTTTTGTTTCAAATTCTAATGATTTTCACTTATATCTTAATAATTTTAAGGCAGAATATTGTGCATAAGTTCATTTCTGAATGTGATATCAATTTTACTGTAGTGTGGAATGCTTTAGCTGTCTATCATAAACTCAGCAGTACTTACCTTTCCTCGTCTGGTTTTGTTCCTACTTCCTTTGTCATAGATGAAATGTGAGTCCCCTTTAACCTCTATACAGGCATGTTCTCGAGAGAGCGCCTGTAATAGTTTGCATCCAGGATTCATCACATTAATGTTAAGATGATAATTATTCAATAACTTGATCATTAACATAATAAAAGAATGCTTAAGTCCAAAATTCTGTTATTTGTTATTACTAAAAATCTGTATGGCCTTTTTTCCAATTCTAGCATTGACTGTAGGAGTAAACTCTTGATATCCATTGTGATTTCCTTTAAACAGGAAAAACTTTCCCAAAGAATGTAGAAGCAAACTCCTGAGATATATTGTGATGTCATATATACAGTACAAGTAATATCTGGAAAAACATCTACCAATCAGAGTTGAGAAAATCTGTCAACAAATAACACCGATTCTGCCCATTATTAATCTTCATCCAAGGAAACCTCCAACCAAATATAATGATTCTAGGCCTTATTGAGAAGTTGTTTAAATGGAAATGTTGACGGCTGACACACCATGGCATGAAAAAGTGTTTAACAGAATTTTTTAAAGTTTGAAATGTAAATTAACCTTGAGTGGAATCCAGACACTGCAGGCGATCTCATGCCGTCCTATCACATTATCACCTACAAAAAAGAAACTGAATTCATCAACAACATTCTGCATCAAATTGACATTCATACATGTGCAACCTATGTTCTATTCTTCAAATAAGACTGATCATCTACTTACAATCAACAAATAAAACCCTGGGTTTACATGGAGTCAGAGTAACAAAGGCAAGAAGACTTTGTTCCATTTACCAGGTACATTTTCTGAAAATGATGTTTACCTTCATATATTTCAAACACTTTTTCTTCAAATTCTTTTTGGCTTTTTACTTTCAAGTATGCAACCTGAAACAGAAAAACAAAGGATGCCATATGAGGACAACAAGAATACATATTTATATACGAGTATAGGGTTGATTGCTGTCAGTTTCCTTAAAAGAATTTTTTTTGAACAAGTTGAAAATTACTGGATGTTCTGTACCATTTACAAGAATCCATTTTACTGACTTTTCAACCTATAATTAGCATTAAACTTTTTTAATTTTGGTCCAAGCAACTGCAATACTATATAACGTCTCCCATTAAAATCATCTTTACTAAAAACATTACTACCTGGTGTACTTTATATCTTTACAATAAAAAGATACTGAAATACATGAAAAATTGCTCAGAGCTACTGAATAATGACCAATTAAAAAAATTATCATATTTGTTTGCACTATATTTCACAGGTGTGAATGTGTTGTGATGCAATCAGTGCCATTTGTAAACTGATCTAGCTAAGCCAGATCTAGAGAGAATTTCTACTTATTAAATACTGCAAGTTGGTTTTTGCATCAGATTGAGCAATGACATTCTGTATCTATTAAGTTCAGCAAGTTTGATAACTATATATCATGTGGACTATTTTAGTAATAAATGTCAAAATAAATCATACACCATTTTAAGAGCAGTGGGAGGTACCGTATTCATCCTGTAATTAATGAACCCAGAGGGAAAATACCCTATTAACCTCTCAATCAATGTCAAGGGATGGCCTTATTACAGAGCACAGATCATTGGTATACATGCTATCAATAGAATACCCAAAGTCAAATGAAAGTGATGTATGCACATGCATGATTGTGTATACATCATTTTGACAACTCATTGGCAGGATGGTAATGTCAATAAAGTAGAAGTTCTTATAGCAACTAGTAAGTAGAAGATGATACAAAGATTCTTTTATTCATTCTTAAATTTCATGCTTTCAGACACAACTTATTTCATATACAAGAGATTCAAAAGGGATCTTGGCACCCATCATTGTTTGGTCCTTGTTTATTCTTTGAAATTTGGATATTTTCCCTTATTTTTTCCCCTGTTTTTGCTCTTAATAACAATTTAAAACATTTCTATGCAGAAATAGTGAGAAAAATCTTTAACTGACAAATCCAATATGGTCGTCTGTCAGCCATTTGTTTTTGTGATCACACCCAAATTCAAACTGCTTCTACTAGGGACCGAGGGACAAAATATATAGGAAATTTGAGAGGGATACATCCAGTGCTTCTCAAGAGTTAGTCATAACAAACTTCATTGGAAAAATCCAAGATGGCTGTCTGTCTGCCATTTTGTTTTTCTGATCAGTCCCAAAATCAAATGGGCACTACAAAGGACCAAGGGGAACCTACATAAAATTTGAGAAAGATCTATCCAGCACTTCTAAAGAAATAGCAATATCAAAAATTATTTATGAATGTAAGACGATTTGAATAGTCCACCATCTGATGAGGTGGGCTAATAAACATTTTATTATGCCTTTTATTCATTCTGAGACACTACACTTTAATGCATATTTACCGGCTTTTTGGCTGCATCTTCATCATCAGTTTCATCTCCATCATCAAAATCTCCATCAAAGTCTAGAACTTGTGTTTGTTCAAAATCCATCTATGTCTCCGGGTGTAAACTATTGAATAAAATAGGGTTCATTCATACAAGAGGATTTATATTCATCATGTTTTTGTCAGTTATTTCACAACAGATCTTTCAAGTTGTGTTTATATAATTTGAATCCACAAAAAGTCATGACTTCTAACTTGTCATGAATCTGAAATAATGCACAAATAAAATTATATGAAAAACAACTTGCCTGGTTATCTTTATAATTTGTAGACATCCATGAACATCAAATTACAAGATGTATTTGTAGGTCACAAAACCAAAACCTGGAAAAATATTTTTGAAAAACATGATCAAATAGTAAATTTTAATTTATAGCTTCAACATAGATTTACATGACAGATTGCTCTTACACATGGAAAAAATACGCTGATTCCTTCCCTCAGAGAGGTGGGCAATGTTATTTATGCTTTTGCATCTTTAGAATGAGAGATGTTTTATATATTCACCATAATTGTATCATACCAAAAATCTGGGATGTACAGTAGAGGGATAGATGACTATATCCCTTTGTAAAGCTACTGCAAAGAATCAGACTAAACTAGCTTTGCTGTTTTTTTCATTTTTCTTCAAAAGCACATTGATTTTGGCTACTGAAGCGCCCGTGTCTCTTTCCAATTTTTACGATCTTTTGGGTACAAAGTTTTTGAGTACGAATCCTTTCATTTCAAAACATGCGCTCAAGTGATTTACACATATTTCAATGACGTCACTGGTCTGCATGCTCAGTAAAACAGTCAACATCGTCTGTATCTACATCCCAGATCTAGAACGTAAAGAATCATTTTGAGCATGCCACCTAAAAAGAAATTAAAGAGACCACTTGATCAGGGTCCCATCAGTAAATTCAATCAGTCGTCATCTAGTTAGTCAAAATATGTCAAACTAGTAAAGTTTCATCGGAAACACTGCCCGATCCCCAGTCTGATGGACAAGCCGTCATTAAAAAATCAAATGTCGCAGATGAATCTACCTCGTCACTCATTGTAGATCAAGACTTAAGTGTCCCACAAAATGTGCCATCTATCGGTATCCCTACGTCAACTGAAAATGTCAAAGTTACGAAAACTAGGAAAATTCAAGATAACTGGTTGGAAATTTGGCCATGGCTCTATGTTGAAAAAGGTGCACTTTTTGTCGAATTTGTGTTGAATATAAGTGGAAGAATGTGTTTGCTACTGATGGCTGTAAGGTATACAAAACATCCTCAATGGCACGTCAAAAGTTAGATGAACATGTAGCTTCTGTAAATTCTCCACAACTTGCAACAGGTTTTTCACATATGATTATTCTGATTTCAATAAAAGATGTGTGTAAATTACATCGTAATTTATGATATGTCACATAAGATTTTGAAAATGTCACATAGGTTTTGAAAATGTCACATTGATTTTGGATTATGAAGAGCCATTGTCCCATCATAAAAAAATCTTTCCCAGGCACTGGGTCAGTGCTAAATTGAATCTAGAATATAGCCTAGAAGTGAATGGGACACAAGTAGATAAGACTGACAACATACACAAGGGTTAGCATTCAGGCAATGTTTTATATAGTTTATAACAGCATGATAGCTATAAATCATACACTGATTTACATTTTACCAAACAGTAAGTTCTCTACCAGTAGAGATTGGCAAGACGGTAGATTTAACATTGCGGATACACAGTCTGAATCCCAAGACTATGCACAGGAATGTAGGATTACCACCCTCGCTTACCGCAGGACTATGCATACAAGAATGAGTGGAATATATTAAAAATACAAACAACATACTTATAAGCTGGAGCAGCGCTGCAAGCAGGAGTAGCAACAGGACAAACTGATTTAGTTATTCTCTCACAGAATGGAAAGTATGGAACAACCTTCCAGTGTTAATAACACATTCAAAAATCGCCTGGATAAACAATGGAAACACCAGGAGCTGTATTACAGCTAATTAACAATCCCACCTGTAAAATCATAAAACTATAAGAAGCATATCTGATTGTATGAAGATCGTGGTTTTGCACCCCCTGTCACCCTAAAATTGTTTTCAGATCCGGTGGCATGCTTCGTTTATTTAGAAACACGATCTGATAGGGCGAGTTTGCAGCGTGTCGGTAAAAGTACAAGTTTAGAATTTAACGCCGAGTCAGTCGTTCACGGAGGCGGCGGAGCTAATTTCATTGCTTTGTTGTTAATCACAGCGAGTAATAAATATATAACATTTATAGAAGACATACAGACAACTGTCGGACATCTTCAGCTTGTTTTACTCTATTAATGCAGGGATTAAAGCCCAAAATTCGATGACACCATCTGTGTACGATCACGTATTTCGTTGTGTAAAGTGAAATCACAAGATTGACATGCTCCCGATCTTAATTACTGAAGTTTCACTCCGTAGAAAATTTCCCATATGAAAAAAGAAAAGCCAAATGAAAGCATATATCACACTCATGTTTACCTTCTTGAAGTTCTTCAGATTTTCTGCTGTTCGCGCACTTTCACCACGCATGCGCATGTTCATGGCCTACTAACTAATATATTTAACGAAGTGGTTGGTGCGAAATTCCGAATCCAAGTTCATCTTTTTTATTTAATTCTTCATGATGTAAAAATAATAAATATTGAATATAATGATAGCAGTATTACAAAAATCTAAAAAAATCCACCGATACGTAACCAATATATTTTTATGAATTCATTCCGGAAAATATCATTTGAGTCTCAGAATATTAAGAATGCCGCATTTTCAAACATTTTAGTGATCAAAAAATAAGGCAGACAACAAGCATGACTACCTCTGGCGTGAAACTTCTTTCCAGAATAAAACCAAGACTTCCTGAGAAATGGAAAGGTGGAAAAATAGAGAAAATAGGTAAAAGATTATTCAGTAAGAAAGAAATGCGTCGAATAACTGACTATCGGTAATTTCTAAGTTTAACTTTCAATTTGCAGTTGAGAGGTCACCGCACAGTACAACGTATTGAACATATACAGCTGATTTATGTCTGATGAAATATGTTTATAGTTGGGGCCAAAACTGGCAACAGTTTAGTCCCCAGCTTGGCACTCTACGCTTCACTAAAGATAACCTTCCACTAGCCGAAAATAGTAATAAAAAGTGGCAACGTCAACTCCTAATGATAGCTGTACACAGCACTGGTTCTTCATGTTAGTAGTACATGGGGGCCGAGCTGTACACAGCACAGGTTCTTCATATTAGTAGTACATGGGGGCCGAGCTGTACACAGCACAGGTTCTTCATATTAGTAGTACATGGGGGCCGAGCTGTACACAGCACAGGTTCTTCATATTAGTAGTACATGGGGGCCGTCAATTCTGAAGGTTAGTTCAAAAGGCGTTGGACAAAAAGGTATTTTTTAAAGATGATATGAATTTGAGTTTTAGTGATGAGGTAGGTAAGACACTGTGACAAGTGATTTGAAGGTGTCTGCAGAAACAAAACCTGGAATAGTGAGTTCCATTGTATGATAGATTTTGGATAGAATAATATCAAAGTGTTTATAGCAGTATGTAGAGGTTTGTATGAGCCTGAAAGCATGATGGGTTGTGATGGCTTGAATGAGTGCACAAGTCAACAGAGAGGAGATTTTCAGCATGAAGTGTGACAAGGCCATGTACTATTTTGTAGATCATAATAAGTCTGTTTTTACAAGCAGCGAATGTGATGTGGTGCCCAATGTAGAGATTCAATCATGTTAGCGATGGAGCTTGTATTGTGGTAATTGTTACATATGTATCTAATAAGTCTGTTTTTACAAGCAGCGATAACATGTGGAGAGTTTAGTTTTAAATTTCACAGAAGGAAGTTACATTGATGCTACTGTTATTCAAATACAGCAGAAATTATTTCAAAGCTTTTGCTAGGGTTGATCCCATGACTAATAGCTAATTCCTGATTGATCTTGAGAGAAATTCTTTGTTTGAATCGTAGCAATGTTAATGTGAACTGAAAAGTTGTTTATCTGTGTGAAAGAACGTGGAAAAACACACATCCTGCCATGTACCTTGACCTGGAATCTGTGGGTCGTCTGTGTGATAAATGACTAACTCTACCAACTGAGCCAAAGAAGCATTCTTGGTCAGCTGAGTTACAGAGACTGTATCTAACACTATGTATTAGCCACACCAAACTGCTCCTTTTACACCAGATTGACATAATCCTATTTGATAGAATAGTATATCCTAGAATTATGAAGTAGTATCAGTGGGCGGACAACTTTTCCCTAGTAGGAAGCAAAACTTTTTTGAATTTGGTGACATAATTTTATGTTACACATACAGGTTGGTGCTCATTGTCTTCATACTCTTATTTGTTGTCTGTGCACATTTTGACATTTGTCTCTAGATGTTCAGCATGCTGAATGACAAAAATTTGAGCAGTTGTTAAAAGGAAAACATAATGAATTGTCAAACTTTTTATAACTGAATATTAGTCATCTTCAACTGATCCTTTTCTGGAAGACTAACTTGACCCCTGTGACAGGATAAAGATCAAGGTCATTTCTATTCACAAACTTTGTCAAGCTCTATAAATCTACCAGCCAAAGATTATGAATTTAGGTCATTTGGTTAATCGGGGTCGTTTGAGCAGTTTAACAAATATGATGTGTATTTCTTTTCCTAAACTGTCATGGATTTCATCCCAGGAATCTATCGGACAAGTACCACCATTTTGAACCTTCTGGTTAATCATGAGTAGGAGCAGTTAATATCATCTTAGGAACCTATCTAATTATAAATCATTTGACTTCTATGACATGGTTCAATCTTAAAAGGTCATTGGTTTTCGCAAAACTTCTTGGCTTTCATTCCAGGGACCTACAACCCAAATATTATACCTTCTGGTAATTTTAGACTGTTTGAATTATCTGAAGAAGTTGTTAAATTCTTTGAACCCTTTGACCTTGAGGATTATTTGATTTCTTTTTACAAACTTTCTAAGCTTTATCTCAGATACCCTTAATACCAACAGAATATCATGTCTCTACCCTAAATGTTTCTTCTTCAGGAGTTGTAACAGACACTGCAACAAGGCAAACAATTAAAGTAATCTCTGTTATCTATTGGTAATTGGTCTGTAGATAATGGATTGAAGAAAAAAAAAACAGAAATCAATAGAAAACAGGTGAAGTGGAGGGGAATCAGTGTTAATCTATAACCTAAAATATTGAAGTTATTAAATTAGGCTAAAAACTGTATTTTTACAGTTTCTGAATGAGGTGATGGAAAAGGTACTTTAAATTAATATGTTATCATGTTTTGAATGACTGTTCTATTTTTTTTCAGCAAATTATTTTAATATCATCCTCAATGACTACCACATGGTATATAAAGACACAATCCGTGATATGAAGGATCGACCTCTGAAGGCATCTGTGTATGTATCGCTCTTGGCAACAGCTGGGGCCCTCATCAAAACCAATCCAACTACACCGAAAGAAAACTATCAAGCACATTTACTGGAATATCATAATGATGTGGGTGTTGTTGGAGTTTCAGTAAGGAATCCGGAATCTGTTAATTTTCTACAGAAAATGTTTGCAGCACATAAAGACTATAAACTAAAGTTTCATAACTTTTACCTGTTTACACTTGTAAGGATTGATGCAGGATCTACAGGAGTGGATTTGTTTGCTTCCAAGTGTAAACAAATCAAACCTCACTGGAAAGAATTCCATAAAAGTATTGTGGATGTGTGTGTATTTGGACGTTGGATTAATTTGGAGAAAGCCATGCAAGATTATGATGTTAATCCTTCTGAATGGGAAAAATAAATTGAATAATAGATGCAAATAGAATTTGTTCTAGTGATTTCAACATTTTAATTTAATGAATGTAAGATAAAAATAATCTTGGCGCCAATCATTTGTTCATGATCACATGATAGATCAGGAAAATGGGATCTCTTGCTATGGTTATTTTGTTTTCTTTTTCAATTTCTGCATCCATTCAAACAATATAATTTCATTACTACAATGACATGCTGGAGTTTTGGCTTTCTATTTGTAAATTAAAATTTGACCTTGACCTTTTGATCTTCACTTTCAGATTATGATATTGTGTCTGGAATATGAGCTCTCTGGGTAATTGAAGACATTCATTGCTTGCTATTTTTAGACCTTTTGACATTGAAGGTCCAGAGTACATATTAGGATTGAGTGCCTAAAGCCAGTGAAGTCTCATGAACAAATGTGGTTTACAAGGTTGTGAGGGTTATGTCCCCTTCAGCATGGCTTAAAGATATTGGTGCAAATTGTCTTTCCCTATCGTATCCCATAAAATATGATCTGTTTGATACCATCTTCAAGACAAATTGATTTAAAACAGTTTTTTCATGTCTCAAGCTTGATTGTAAAATTTTTACATTATCAATAAAGTGTAAGTGTATGGATATTCTCCCTATAATCAATATGATAGAATATGAAGCTCATGATGTCATCATGATTGAAATCGGGTGAGTGTGACCTTTACTTCAAGGTAAAATATATGCTATAAGTAAACATCTCTGTTATTGTAAGCTTGATAGAATAACAAGTTACAGACTTAGGTTGTCTGTCCTAGTATTGTCTTTTTGAATATCATTCTGTCTGGAGGGGATTATTACTTTGTAAATTTTTTATAGTCAACTAGTTGTCATTTTACATTTCACATCTAGTATAGGTTAAAGTTCCCGGAACTAGAGGGGGTCTAATACTGGAAGGAAACTGAACAGTACCTGATCAGAAAATGAAATCCTGGTCATCTAAGTGGCACTAAATTTTAAATACAGTTTGAATTAAGAACTTAAATGCTTGTCATCTCTAAAGTTCTAAAATGCTAAGTACATTAAGACTAAACCATATCAAAGTCTGTGTTTTATGTGTTGTCATAAAATACAAAAACAAATAAAATAACTCTTTTACGAAACACTTTATTTGAGATATCTTGTAGAACATGTAAATGAATGCTTTATAAAGCTAATGGAATGTTCCAAAGGTACAGATAAATTAAGTCACAACCAGAAGGTCGAGTAATCACATTGTAACAAACGATGGAGGTGACAGAAGCACAGAAATTAAACATACATCTACATCACAGAAACAATATACACCTAAGACTCATGATAACCATGGCTATCCTTGCACCATGTTAGTAACGGGTAATAGTAAGATTTCATTTAGAACTGTAGACAAATGTTTAAATGAAAAGAATTGTTATCTGCCATTTTATTGTTGATGTAATATGATAATGAATGAATTAGACCTATGAATCATATTTTGAAAACATGATAATTGACTCCCCAATGTTTTATTTTAATAGCGAGGCCAGGTATAAGAACTTCAAATTCTTTATCTGTGAGGAGTTAATGAGAACTGTTGCTCTACAATTGGTCTTAAAATACTTTCATGAAACAATCTAAAAATGTCCTTTCTGATTAACGCGGGAATAGGAAGTCCATTTAGCATAATGTCTCGTCATATTCTACATCATGCTCATGGTACTGCATATCAAAATTGAACTACTGTTGATGTGAAATTTATACACAAAATATAATGCTGGCTATTTCAAAAATGTGCTTTGTGCAAACAAATACATTTACAGGTATTTACTTACAAAATAAACAAGGTCTAGAAAGAAGTTTTTCACATTTTGTCTTTTGTCACCCCAATACAAAAACATGAATGATAATGAGATGATGATGTCTCAAAATGGAACTCTCTAATGTGCACAGATAAAAAATACACATTCTAAATTAAATGGCAAACTTCAAAGATATCAAATATCCCATTAGACTTTGTGCTTGTTGAACATGCACATTACAGAGTTCCAAAAATGAAATAATGTTCTGATGAGTCACAACCATAGTGTTTGAAGTATAAATGCTTAAAGCTGTGTAGGTGAATATACAATGTTTAAGGAACATCCAGGTGAACAGAGAATACATCGACTCCAGAGGATATAGAATCCGTAATAACATATTATATAATAATCCTTGCTACTTATAATCTTCATGTAAATGCATAAGCTGTTTTTTTTCAAGGTTTTTATTTTTGTGTTTGTAACAGAGGTCATTTCTTATTTCAATGCATCCACTAGGAATCAAACCCGGAACCTCTGGTTTATTAGTCTGACACTCAACCAACTGAGCTTAAGAGAAGATCTCTTTAGCCAAGTGCTAGTGCGGCTAGTATTTACCAGGGTAACATGTTCCCTGGGTGTAAATATCTTTAGCACTAATACATTTAATATCCATGAAGAATATCAGACATTTACAGCTTTTTTTATTAGCATACAATTTTACAGTTTACTCGTAATGTAAACTTAAATGTTCCCAGAGTAAACAGAAAAGTTAAAATGCCCAAGAATGAATTTTGTCTTGGCATTTTCTCAGTAATTAACTCAAGTGTTTCACAACAGATTAACTTTATGTGGGAAAACAATTGATACTCTGTACCTTATGTATTGTAAGTAAAGATCAGTTATCTTTGTCTCTGGGAATTAACTCTAGAAGAACATTGTTTCACCTTCAAAAACATAGAGGTCACAGAGAATACAAACAGCAAATACAAGGATCAACGACCAGGCTCACAAACACACAGCATTGTACAACAGTACCAATGTACACCTATCTATACCCACATACTGACCCATTCTTCTTGTTGTTGAAGAGATATGGATTTCCAGAATGTTTAAGATTTTTTTTCTCCATTTCTAAACATATATCCAGTATCCCATGTACTTTTTTTTTTAGTAAGAATTCAAAGCAGTCAAGTAAAAAAACAAAGAATTGTGATTTGAAATATTATGACAGTTTACTGAAATAATTTTTAACAACAAAGATGGGTCAATATCTAGAAATTATACATCCTCCTGGCAAAACTGCTGATATACCTCAATTTTCACAAACATCAACTGTACAGTATTGTTATGATACATTTATAAACACTTATTTGTAGATGACATATTTGTCATATATCTGACCAATTTAGACCAGTTGATTTGTTTGTAATACCCGCACATAAGTCCACATTTGGATCTATCTATATTAGGTACAATATGTAAATCTGTGTTAACCAGGCATTCAGGGACAAGTTTCCTATGAACTTGTATAATCTGAAAACAGTTAACACCAAATTATATTGTACATAAATGATACAAACTGTTGTAATCTGTTTCTGCATAATATTACTGATCACTACAAGTCTATCACGTGAAAATTTCCTTTCAATTAGATTATGAAACCAATAAAAAAATCTTTTCATGGCAGATGATAATTTCAACTTGAAACTATGATGCAGAATTTTTTATGTTTTAATTTATTCTTCAAAAACATGTAAGAGTCAATCATTGTTTAGGCCAGAGTTCTGACTTATCACAATAAGTTACTAAAAGTAACAATTTTGTGATCTATAGTAGAATGAAATTAATGCTTTACATGGTCAGACGCCATGCACTGGCATCTATTTCACAAATGACGATTAGGTAAATGGCTGATGGATGTAACAGGATTATGAGCCTGAAATTTATTATGCCCTTCATGTGTATTTTTGAAATACACAAACGTACAGTAGTTATACAGTAGATGATAAAACGATTAATGACAGTACATCTTGTTTAGTGACAAAATATTAGTAGTTTTTATCAAACAATGTGTTAGTAAAACTTTTACACTTTTTAAAAAAATACCCTTGAAACTTTCAATAACCATTAACTTCCTGACTGAAATGTTAATAGATCTAGAAGTTATAACTGTATGCTATGACTGGACACCAGTTAGGATTCTATATATACAGAGTGTTTATTGCACGATGCCTTACCGGTATCAGTTACAGGGAGCAATACACAGACATATCAACAAAAAGACAAGATATTGTTACAGAAACAATACAAAGGTTTTCATAAAATACAGAGAGTTCAAGAATAAGGGAGTAAAAAAAAATTATATTGAGAATGAACATTTTCTTGGGAAAATGAATATTTTCAAACATGTAATTATGGATATACTTTGATTTATAATCTACTTCTACCAAGATTTTAATTCATTATCAAACTTTATAAATATTTAACAATCATTTTACTAAATGACAGTTAGCTATTTCCTTGAAATTAAATATCATAATATTCAATGTTTAATACATGATCTTGTAAACAGGAAAAAAATCTAACCATTTTTATGCTGCAAAATATCAGGCTATAGTTTTTGTTCACAATAAAAACAAAAATGGTCAGTGATCCATAAATAAGTCAAGATATCAACATTTCCTTTGGCATTGTTAGATTTTGTTGTGAAATCTTAATTAAGTATTTTGTTCCATTTTATAAGTTAACATAGCACTTTTGAGTGGAAATATTGAATATTATGCAATAATATTAAGTTAATACAACAGTCAAATTAACATGTTAGATTTTGGTATGTTTATAAATTACATATTTTATAATATACAGTGTATATATATTTAATTATCACTTGCTAAAAATCAGCACTTTCAAACAGATCTGTCACTGAGTTTCAAAGACTTTTAAATAGGAGTCAGTGAGCCTTCTAAATAAACATGTATCAACATTTTCTTCGTTGTTTCCACAATTGATAGAGCTTAGATCTCTGGAGTTGGGAGTAGAGAAACAAAGATCCTGTAACTCAAACCAATGTGACAGGACAGCTGAAGACATAAAGCAAATTATGACAATGAAATGATAAGAGGAAGCCAATAGAACTATAGTATAGAAATAGGGTCAAATGACCTGTCACATGACTAGTTATAGTTCCGTGGCATCACCAGTGTCCAGTAGAGACAGAGATCCGTAGAAATGGGCTGGTACATTAACAACTTCACTGATTGGTCGAGAGCCCGGTTTAATATTGAGCTGCTTCGGTGATGATGTCAATCCTGGCTTACACTTCTTACTTTTTTCGAACTGTGCTTGACACACATAGTTTTTACTGACTCGATTTGGATGGGGGTTTTCTCGCTTGGTCTCTCCTTGTTGCACGTTTTCATCCATGGAACATGTCTCATCATCTGTGATGTCAACATCCTTGTCGTCCGTTTTGATATTTGTGGATATTGGTGCAATGGGAACAACACTCACATCCTCATCTGTTTCCTTGGATGTTTGTGGTGTGTACAAACCTACCCCAAGTTCATTACTATCCGAATAGTCCTGCAATGTCTTAATATCAACAGGGTGTCTCTTGATATTAAAGTGACTGTGCTGGAGAAAGTTTTCCGCGGATTTTGACGGCAATGTTACACATTTCTTCTTCAGCGGGGTGGCAGAGAGATTGTTTGTGCCATATGCTGGGTCACTGTATGTACTCCCAACACTGCGGGCTCCACCATCCAAAGCAATCATGAGGTCGCTCCCCGTCGCAGGCAGATTTACAATGTCCACACAACTGTAGGGGGAAGTCTCCACTGTTCTCAAAACATCCTGACTAGATGATAACTGTTTCTTTTTCCACACTGGTGAATTAGGATCTCTGAGAAATGTCTTATTACTTTGAATTCCATAATCATAGCGAGGGGTTGGCCCCCGCTGAGGAGTCTGCGGAGGATGACCCTGAGTTACTCCATACCCATACTGCCTCCTCTCTAGAGTGCCTCCTGCTGGCTGCAGCCTGGAGAAGATGGAGCCTGCTGCAGAAATCATGCTTCCCCTGCCACTGTCAGTTCCTGCTTTCTCTCCACTTGTTCGTAGATACATCCTCTGTGGGTCTCCATAGAGCTGAGACTGAAAATGACAATAGCCCGGTTAACAAAGAAAACAGAAATAGTGTTAAAACCCTTCAGTTACATGGAATTGACATGAAATCAACTTCTTTAAGCTTCCCTGTAATAGATGTTATTTTGTTTTAGTAATTCAATTCATTTGACGTCATGCTATTTCATCAATATTCTTACAGAACCAACAAACTGTCACCATGTGTATTTTTAAGATGAATAACATTGCTTGACTAAAAAAATGCTGAAATACAGAAACAAACTAGAAGAATACAAATTCTGTGGCACAAACAACAGGATAAAATCACTGAAGTAACGTTTCTTCTGCAAAAGGTGTGGCATTGAAATTTTCACCTTTGAAGGTTTCTATCTATACCTCTGTGACCTCTTCATTATATATAAGGTCATAGCTACCTTGGTTAATGTGCCATTTTTGTTGATCAGGGGAATGTCTATTGATCCATCAGGAGAAGATGGTGAAGAACTGTCACGACGGCGGCCATCAATTCTCTCATAGATGCTGTCGGAGTCATCAGAACTTGGTGACTGTGGCGGTAGAGGGTCAGGCATTGGCTGCAAGGGAGATAACTCAAAATAGAACTGTGTTCAAATGACCAATAGTTATATCTATCTATTCGTCTTTAACATCACATATATATGTCATCTTTCAGTCATTTTCAACATTTCATTTCTCAAAAGAACTTGACAACACCCAAACCATTTTATCTTAATTTTCCTGAGTATGATGAAAACTGATACATGTATGTACACCAGATAAATGGCAGCTGCATTGAACAAGAGGAACAAACTTTCCTTAATCATTGAAGATGGACAGTTTTTGGCACATCTATTCTGATATATGAGAAAGCTTCAGCTTCTAGCAGACTTATCTATATCTCTTTTCATGAACAAAGCATCATGAACAAAATGACCCTCTATGTACACCATCTGTAAAGACTTACTGGTACATACACACTTTACATATAAATGTATATAGCTTCAGTGGTTTTTTTTTCACTTCTGTAAAATCAATTTCAATTTTCAATGCAGCTCTATTTCTAAAATGACACTTTACAAAATAAAGAACAAGAACACATTTAAACAGACAGAACAAGGAGTGGAGTGTAGGAGTAAACAGGTTTATGCTTAGTCTAATGACACACAGAGTACAAGTCTAAACATCAATTTAAAAAATGTCATGTTGAAACATGGAAAAATTCTCTTGAAAGTGTCATTAGATTAAGTGAAGGTGTAGTTAGTGAGGTTAAACATAAAGATAATATCGTGGATACATGCCAGTGCAGTCCTTACCCTGAAGAAGTAAGTTCCGGACGTCCAAGTTGAGGAACTGTAGTCCGGAACGAAATTCTTTCCAAAACAAAATTTAGAAGTTTGATGGATTGTTGAAATCACAAAACTTCTATAAGTATTTTGTTCATCGATTTTGTTTTGTTGACACAGTATTTTACGTGTTTTGATAATTCTGTCAACATTGGTACACCAAACTGTAATCACACTATTCCCGTCTTTCAATTTCTGCTTAGAATTTTTTGTTTAGGTGTTAGTAAGCATTAATAAATTAAAGGGAGATAATTAAAGGGCAGATAACACTTACAATTGGTGGGAGAGGAACATGAGGCATGATGATGTCATATGGTTTAAACTTCTGTTTGACAGTGGTAACACAGCGTCTGTTCAAAAACAAATGAGATATGCATGTAATTATAAATATCAGAAAATGAAATTACATTGTTTTCATATTTCTACTATATCATTTTATTTTACTCAAATTCCTATCTGTCCACAGTGGATTCATCATAAAGTGTATGGATGTCACTATTCAAGCTGATAGGACTTTTTTCAGGGTTACAACCCTTTTATATGGCCCATGCATCTCCATTTGTATGTTTGCTTTACTCTAATTATTTATCCGTAGAACTGCAGGCAGTACATATGTATTCCCCAAGTTATAAATTTTCTGATCTTATTTACTGAAAGTCCTCAGGATGGGTAACAGTAGACATAAAACATCTTTAAGAGATAGATACTTACTTGACAAAGATGATGACACTGCAAAGAGCCAGTATACAGATAAAAACCACAGCAGCAGCAATACCCCCAATCTCCTCCATAGATATCCCCACTGTATCAGATACAAAATAGAGATCAATTAAACAGGAACTAGAATCAGTGACACTGTGTATGATTAATAATCTTTTTGTCTTAAACACTTACTATCTGCATCAACTTCCAAAGATTTTAACTTAAGACATGTTTAATTATCGATAGATATTAATGTATTGGACTTCTGTGTAATTACCAACACAGCTGATCATATGCATGTAACATTCATATTACTTTAAATTCTATGAAAAATCTCTCGAAGGAAATATCTTGAGACCAGGTCTCTCTGTTTACTCACCTTTGATTGGATGTTGCACAGTAGTGTACAGAGGAGAAGTTACTGGTCCCTGTCCTGCATCAGCCTCCGCAGCCATCCACACTCGATAGGTTGTTTCTGTCTCCAGATGTTGAAGAGTGAATGTCGTTGTTTTGCCATTCACTGTCATAACCTTTACTAACCCTGTAATACAAAGAGGTTAAAGTTAATCCAGTGACATTAAGAAGTAAAAAATAAATAGAGGAGAAAGGGCAATCTTGTAATAAAAAGTGGCAAAAAGGGCAAAAATAAAAGGTGTGTTGAAGACTGATGTTGAAGTTTGAATATGTATTTCAGGCCAAATTTAATTAAGACTGGGACGAAAGTGAATGATTTTCTGTGAAGAAAACCTGCCATTTACAAAATCATATCATTTACAAAGTCATATCAGTATAAGCCTGATTACCTGTACAGTTTCCATCCCTGGATGAGGTACAGAAGAAGATGAGAAAGGACTGTATGTAGCCATGAGATTCATGACATTGGAACAGGTCCCAATCCAGTCGTACCCTGTTGTCCCCTGGATACTCCATCAACGCAAAGTTCTTAGGGGCCATTGTAGGTCCTGTATAACAGTATAATGGCTAGGAATAAAGGCTTTCAGATAAACAGAGTTATAAAAATGATGCCAATGGAAACATTTGTTAAAACATAATGCAGGAAAAGTACATTTGTTTTGGACAAATTACATTTTTATCAACTGACATTGTAAACTTCTCAAATATAAATGTATTAGCTGTATCTCAAAAATGATTCCAAAATCAATCTTACTTTCATTCTTGTTAAAAAGACAGGAGTTCCATAATATTCCGCTGCTTATTTTCTCCCCTGACGACATCTTGGTTTCCATGGAAATGCCAAATATAGTAAACTCTAGAGATGTCCTTGACACGTTGGTGTAGAACTCAGTTGTGCTTCGATTCAAAACTTTCCATTGTAAAGGATCCTGGAAATAGCATGTACATATTTCATTATTGATGTGACCCAAATTCTAAAATTAAACATTGTCTGCTGGACTTGATGATTGCAACTGTTTCATATTGTCAAGACCACTGTGTATCCTGAATTTCTTGATCCACAATTATTTACAAAATAACTCTTCAACCTTTGGATTTCTGAACAAATAAGTCATGACCCCTGACTTACTATTAGTGATATAAATACAGTAACCAAGCAGCTTTTATCTACCATGGTGACCTGTGGTTTTCTAATGAACACCCTGACCCTTGATTTACCCTGCTTATCATGACTTTTTTATCACTGACCTACACCCTGACCCTTGACTTACCCTGCTAATCATGACCTCTTTATCACTGAGCTGTACCCTGACCCTTGACTTACCCTGCTAATAATGACCTCTTTATCACTGAGCTACACCCAGCTACATCATTCATAACTTCATCATTACTGAGCTACACCCAGCTACATCATGATCTCTTCATCACACAGCCTCAGACCCTTGACTTACCGAGCTACATCTGTGTAGATTAGGGGATCCTTTACACATGTACACTGTGTAGGAAGCAATAGAGAAATCAGCATCTCCTTCATCAGGCCGTGGTGCTGACCAGCTCATTCGCACCAACTTCTTGACATCATTAGTCGCATTAACTGCTTCAACAACAAAGCTTTCTGGAAATGGTGGCACTGAAAAAAATCATCCAGAGATTAATTCTGCTTGTTTTTATGAACAATGAAGAATACTACACAGGCTTCAGAACAAATTGGAAATCGATCAACACAGACCTAAATTCTCAATAGTCAAGAGTTGCTTAGATATGTAATCTACAATGCATGGATTCTCTTTCTTGTATGTATACATGTGTGTAATTTGGAAAATTAACCAACAACTGGTTATTGTACCATTCAAATAAAAGATGAACTTTTCTAAAAGGTGATTTCCTTAACATTAAATCCCACGATATGCTTAGTAGCAGTGACCTACTTTTGGATTGTGCTGGTATGAAGATGGTGGAAAAGTGTGGTGACAGTCCTGCTTTTGTTGCCCCGCGGATCTCAATCACATAGTCCTGACTCCGAGCCAACACTAGGCTGCCTTGATTGGCATGACTGACATAGGTGTCCTCCTTGCTACCTGTGCTCTGTGTTACCTTGGTGATCTGGTAGAACTTGATCATTCCATTGGCAGCTGTTCGTGGGATAGGCTAGAAACACACAAGTAAGAACAATAACACATCACCATTTTTATTCCATCACAACTATTCACAATTTTACAGATACAAACAATTAAAAACAATTGAGCAGTTACAAATATAATGTCAAGAAAGTTGTAACCATATTTTTCAGATTTAAGATGTTAAAGCATCTGAAACATAACTCATTCTGAGTGAATTAATTAATTCTAAATTAGGTATAAATGATATCTCAAGAAACTACAAACAGTAGTGTGAAGAGATAGCAATGAAATAGAAATATGCTCTGAAATATTGCAAATATCATAAATTAATGCCCACAAAACTATGTTTAATTTATTACCTGCCAATACAGGACAATCTGGCGACAGTCTTTAAGCATGTCACATGACTGCTCCGAAAAACTGCCAGACTGAAGAGATGGGGCAGCGCCAGGCACTGTAAGAGAAAGTGTGTCATGTTGTGTTATATTTGAAAGATAAACAATACTTTAATTGCAGCTTACTGTTATTTTCCTTATCTTTTAAAAAATATTTATTAAACTTTGGTTTCAAAATTGATACCATATAAATTAGAAACTACTAACTATCTTCCTTGGTTAACAGGGTGGTATCCACTTCTTTACTCAGGAACCCATCAATCAGAGGTGAACAGCGAATCTTCACCACATAGACAGTGTAGGGAGTCAGTCCACAGATTGACACATTGGTGTTACCATTGGAAATCTCAAACTTCTGCAAACACAAAGGATAATGTTGATTGTAAAAAATTGTCTACAATGTTATAAAAAACATAATTGTAAATGTAAAAGAAAGTAACACAATTTATAAAGAGTGTTTCTTTCAAAGATATAGTAATAAACGTTTTTTAAAAACCAAAAATTTAGAAGTAGACAACCAACCTTCCAGTGATGTGGATCCCATTCTGAATTGTACTGGAGGTGGAAGACTTTGCTGTTGTTAGGACGTGAGTGAGACCAGGAGAAGACCATACATGTGCTGTTGTAGGTATACTTGACATTACTGACTGCTGCAGGCTCCACTAAAGGTAAAAATACAGGTGAGACAATTGTAACACACTGAAGTATGGAAGTAATGATAATTGAAAATGTAAACAGATGTTTCTGTAGAATTCCCCCCTCCCAAATGATATGGCAGCAACTAATTTCCTATTCATACCAAGGCCTAAATCTGAAGACAGTCACATACAGAGGTATGTCTTTTGACTGGATCTGAATTGATTCACTTTTTCTTCATCTTTACTATAAAATCTGTGATTCTTCTTTCAACATACCCATCTTTTCTGGATATTGAAATTTGTTGTGACAAAGTAAGGCTGTAAGTTTGTCACCTTACTAACGATGTATGTGTATACCTATCACTAGTATTCAAACAATTTGTGAATTTTGGATTACTGTAATGTCTTCGATGAAAAGAAAGCATGTGGCATTGACAACACTCATTTGGAAGCATCTTTTTCATAAGAATGACAAAAGTCTAGGTATTATTTTGGTCTTATAACAATGACTTGACAATAGCAGGCATTGTGGATTGTCATAGTCCTATTATAATCCAAGGCTGTCGGTGCTGATTCTTTAGATGTGTTTCCTAATTCCTGATTCTCTGACCCAAATAAACACTGTTTCATAGCCAGTATACAATATGTGTTTATATAGCACCACAAGTGCCTATTTAGTATTTTTCAAACACGATACAATCACTTATATGTGATGCGTACTCATTAGTGTCATGTCTGGTTGTAAGACATCACACCGCAGACCTCCACAGTAGTGTTAAGCATTGCACCTTAGATGTCAGTGTTTATGAGAAATTCATGTAAATGAGATTTCCAGTAGGAATATCGAGACACAACTACGCCAACTGATTAATCTATAGATAGCATGTGAAGAGCAATATTACAGAAGAATAATCCAATCCAATACATCTCCTTGGAAAACAAGGGAACACCATACACTGCGACTTCATTATCACATTCTGTGTGTTGCTATATGACTATCATCATCTGATAAGATAATTATTTTGATTTTATATGTTGAGTAAGAGTTCTTTCCCTTACCAATGCGTCGTGTGTCCTTCTTCATGAGTCGTGACTTTGCCATGTCCCCTGTGCGTGTGTTATGGATTGTCAGTTGCATATAATACATCATACCGTCATAGTAAGTGCTGTCAAAAGAACTCATCTTCCAGGTACATGATGTTGGTGTAGGATGGGGGCAGTCTGCATGCTCCATGTACCTGTGGAGAAAGAGGTTTTAATCTGCAGTTGAACCTAATATCAACCATGAATGACACAGAATCTTGATAAATCCTTTCAAAGGAATGTGTTAGAATTATGATATTATTACTGATTGTGAAACAAGTCTAAATATATGTATGTTTGATTTACAGAAAAAACAAAAGAAAATTTGTGCTGATTTTAATCTCATTTCAATTTCACAAAACCGGGTCAGAGAACAAACAATTACTAATTATAATTATTTCCATGTTAATGTGATATATGGAACTTAGCATCATTACTTCATATAAAGGATTTAAATCACATGATAAAGAGCCCTGTTAGATTGACTTACTCCACGGTCCAGACTAGGTCGATCTTGATGTCCTCCATATGTATATAGTTGACTCCCAGATTCCATACACATGTCATGTTTTCCCAGTTATACACTCGACAGTCAATGTCCTCCACCACTTTTGGTGCAACTGTCAAATAAAATTTACTTATCAATTAGCTATTCTTTCAATAAAATACATCATATTTTAATACTTTAGTTGAGAAAATGTTCTCTGCAGTTTTAACTTTAATCAATTTTATCCTTTTGGAAAACAGCGTTAAAAAAAAAGACAAAAAAGAATGGTTAGGATTGATACTAAAGCAAATATACACATTTTTATATGTTTTAAGGCAAATGTAACATTGGGCAAAAATAGGCAGTTTTTGACGAGGGCCAAAAAAACTCTGTCATGTGATCTGTACAAAGTAAACATTTATACTTTTGATCTGACCTTCATAAAAAGAACACATGTATTTGACCTTGACATGATACTCACATTCAACCTTGACATACTGGTTGGCGATGACCTTTGGTGTGCCATGAGTGGTGTTGATTTTACAGACATAATTTCCCTCATCGTACATGGACTCAATAGGAAGGCGGAGCTGTATGGTGCGTGTGCTGAGACGAAACACATACTTCCCAGGAATCACCTTGTTATCCTTCCGTGTAAAGTACATTCGTGATGAGTCTTCCACCAGGGGGCGGGTCAAGTTGCATGTTAGCACCACCTCATGGCCGATATAAATATACGGATCATCAGGCAGTAGTACTACAAAATAGACCAGAGATGTAATTATTCAAATATATATGGGCCATTGGGGTTAAATAAACCGAGTTAAACATAGTTCCTACTGCTGAAATTGGAAGTTTTTTACAGTACTTATCAAGCATTTTCTTGTATCTTAAGGTCTTAATTCCAGGCAAAGGATCAATATTGATAGTTTATTGTATTTAAAAGAAAATGTAATTGCTTCTAGTGCACCTTAATGAAAAGACAGCAGTAAAACAAAAACAAAGTTACATTGAAAGTCTTTCATAAACAATTCATTTTATCCAAGACATAACTAATGTTATTGTTCTTTTTGAATTGTGTTAAATTTTGCATCGATCAATTCAACTGCACAGGAGATGCAATAAAGCTGTTGTATTCTGATAGTTTCTCAGTTTAAATTAAATAACTTTTTTACATGAACTGTGATACAAATTGAATTTATTGCAATGTTCAATAAATCTTTGTAAATTTGTTTTACTGTTTTCATCATCAAAGTATTGGTACTCTAGAAAATTAGTTTATCATGCTAGCTCTTGAGATTTATAGTCGAAGTAACATTCAATTAACAACCTGCCAAAACAACTTAATCAGGAAATCTATAAATAGACATATTAGGTCTTATTGTGATTATCTTCAAGTTCAGTTACATAAATTGATTAAGCTATTCAGTTGTCAGTGGGAAAGAAAAAGGAAATTCATGTAAGAGTATGTTGTCAATATATTTGATAAGCTGACAAATCTTTAACAACAGTATTTTAGTGTACCAACTACGTATAACTTCTACCTCATTCTTTATATAGATTTGTTAGCTTAATATCTTACTAAATAATTTATTTTCTAAATTCTTTGAATATTTCAAACAGTATTCTTTTGTAATATTTCTTTCAAGACAATCACGAGCATAAATTAACATAAATATTTTGTAAATGATCATGATGTTGTAAAATTTAATAATGCTTTGTAATAAGACATTCCTGGTTGTAACTTCTGTCCTCCTTTTCAGGAACTTTAATTCCGTTTGCCGATATCCTTTTCATCCCTTTAAAAAGCCCACACCTACATTTTATCCAACATTTAATACTAGCCTCTTGGGCTTAGAGGAGATTTAATATGGTACTAAATTGAAACCTCACTATGCAGAAAATCCCTGTAGACAGAATTTATATCGCTAGGATATTAATAACATCACTTTTGTCTTAAATTACAGTTTGATGAAAGGCGTTGGAGAGAATATTGGAGAGGTAGTTTTGTGATGCCATCGAGATTAGTCACTAATCCAGATGGAATGCTTGGAGCACTAGCTTTAGGTAATATCTACTAGTATCACAGTAGGGTCTTGGAAACAGTTCCCTAATACCTTACTGTCTAAGACCATCTTATAAATTTTAGAATCATTTGAACTAAGAGAGTTATGAGCTGAATCGGAAATTTTAATATATCTGAGCCTCTGGAGAGCTAAACTAAATCAATATGTATGCAATGGGTGTTATGACAACCAAAACCAGGTAGTTCCGTAACAGCTATAATTTACATATTGAAATTGGGGCTGCCATTTGCTTCAACATGAACTCTATGTGAACAAAAAAAAACCTTCAGAATTTTATTTAGAACTATCTTAAAACTCCTCCCATTTGGAAACCTATAAATGCTAGTATAGATATTATGTATCAAATTCTCAATACAAGCTAAATACAGGCATGTCTATCTTAGGCTAAGTATGGGAAAGCAATGTTAGAATCTGTTGTAAAACAAAGGAAAAATACCTATAAGATACGAGTAACAAACCACCCACCCCATCTACCAACACCCCCCCAACTCCTATACAAACCAGAATCAGATCATGATTACGTTAAGAACTTGACTTGATGTTATGATAGTGTATGGGTAGTATGAACCAAACCTATTGAGAGGTTTTCAAGATATGATACTGATTCACAACCCAACAGGATGGATTTACAGTGGTAATAATATATATCCCCCCCTACCTCCCCTAACACCCAAACCTGCCCTCCTCACAAAAGGTACCTCTCACTGTAACCTTCCCACATTAGTAACAAAAGTTGGGTACAATTGGCAAGGGTCAAATGTGTGTAAATAAATAAACATTAAATTCCATGAGTTCAACTTTATTGGTATCATCCAAATGAGAATTTAATGGTGGCCTGTCTCGTTCCATATCAGTGAAAAATACAAGTCATCCTTCCACTGGGAATTAATCATTATTTTTAAATCATCCAACCATGTCCAGGGTTTCTGGCCAGTTAAAGGGTATCACCTCTATGGTGGTCCCTAGCTATTTCTAACTGTAAAAATTATACCAGCAGTCCCTTATCACTCAAAAAAAAATACTATCATCTGGGGTTCGTAAGAGTTCATGATTTATTTCATGAGGATGGTCCCTAGAATGAATTATAATATCAGAGTATATTAAGTTCACATGTTACTGAGTGACAATGATATAAAGACACCCCCAAGGAAATTTAGGATAAATCAACCAAATCATTGATGGATAAAACAGGTTTTAACCTAGTACTTAAAAAAAAATTGTTTATGCATTAATGAGAAGTTACATGTTGATCACTATTCAAAATAAGAAATATTATATATCTTAATATTTTTATCACCATTTAATAAATCGTATATGATCCCCTGTTGTCTTAAGTAAAGATGAACCAGATAAATGACTTTTTAAAATCTACAGTTAAGGATTTTTGATGGCAATCACACACTAAAATACTACATGTAGTATGTAGTTTACTGGTTGCCATTCAAGTATTTACCTCCGATGTCCCCCTCATTGCTGTACATGAAGCCGGAGGCAATGGTTGCCAAGGCGAGGGAGAGAAGAGCGTACAGTGCTACGCCTTCCATACCACCAAGGTAGTGTGTTCATTTCCTTACATGGCAGGGTGGTCGTATCTGCGAAAACAAAGTTATTAACATCAATACACTATTTGCAATTCTTTATGAAAGTAATATAGGGGTTCAACACCTAAGTTAGTAGGCTTCTTTGGGAATTGCTAAGGCTTTTTGTCACAAGTCAAATGTCAGTTACCCTCATCTGCAAGCAACATGCCAACAGATGAGTGCATCAGTTTCTTCATAACAACAGCAATATACAGGTCATGCTGTACACTATCGCACTGAGGCTCTCAAACAATTCCTGTAACATATAGTTTCTGTTAAGAAACCTTGTTCCATACATATAAGATCATGAAAATTGAAGTGTACAATATTTTCATCACATACAGTATACAAAGTTAAATATTTACATAAATTGAGATGTCTACTGCGGATAAACATAAGGAAACAGCACCTTAGTCAACTGCTTTTCTAGCAAATGTTCTAATAATGAAAATTGATTAATAAGAAAAACATGAAATTTTTGTCTATTTTTCGTTGTCATTTATTTGAAGAAATGGTCCTATGGAGGTAAAGCTTATTTGTTAAATTGCAGTATTCACTTAACCAACTGCATATCATGGAGTTTTCAAACAACAAACCTAAGAACAATTTCAAACAACCTTCGTGATAAGACATTTGTATAACCAACCAATTTGATAACACCAAACAATGGAATACCTAATATCGAGCCCCCCACCCCTCCCCTCTTCCAATCGGAATAATGCTTGGCTTTATTTCATACCTACAGATGTAATGGAATGTAATGACTGTATTGACTCATACGTATTATTTCCGTAACCTCCTGATAATGGGGACAGATGCCTGTCTGTGGAGGAGAGGAGGGGACGACCAACTTCCTGCAATTAACGCTATTATTTTGGAATGTCCCAAGCTCCTGCCAATCCCTGGCCCATCCAACCCTCCTCCTATCACTTTGAAACAGATAATTTGATTTGGTCATAATGAGCCACATACAAAATTTGATATTTCAGATTCACTCAGATATTATTTATGGTTGTTTAAATCAGTTTAACTGTCAATTTTGGCGGTATTTGATGGGAGTATAATTGTGTGATAGGGACAAGATAAGGCCAGACTCTCTCGCCTATCTTTACGAATATCCCACACTGCAGGCTTTCGGTTGTACATAGATCTCAAGCCTACGGCAACACCAAATGAAATCCTCTGTAATTAATGAAACAAATTTTCACAAAATCATGTCTCATGTGTTTCTCAATTCTGACAGTTACACTTCGGAAGCATGCATAGAATATCGGCAAAGATGGTCGCATGATAGGCTGCAACGTTGTGAATTGTGTAACGGACGTTATGCGAAACATTGTCGGGTATAATTAGATTTACAACTACTAGTAAAATATAGTAATGACTAATTTGTGATACAAATTTATTGTTATAGTTCTATTAAGTTACTATGGTGATATTCAACATGACTGGAGGGAATCTGCTTGGCCAAATCAAAGTATTGTAAACCAAGGTTTGTGTGAATCTCGATTTTCACTCGAGAGATGTACACAAAAGCAAGACAACATTATTTACCATTCTGTTATTCATGAATTAAATTATGTGAAGAAATACCTGTTTCTTTTTCAGAATAAATAAAATTATTGAAAGGTTTTCATTTTATTTTGTTACAATTAATTCATGAATAATCAGCATTTATCACACCAATACAACGAAATTGTTTGAAAAATTAAGTATCAGGTATATGTTATTAATTATATCATACCATTTCATCAGAGATTTTTTACAGAAAATTTTATTGTATTAGGTTGTTGCAAAAAAAGTGTTTCTCGATGACGGTCAGAAAAATAGAATCATGCTGCATGCAGCCATCAGTTTGATATGAACAGGAAATAATGTTAGAATCTCTAAATAAAATGTTCTTATATAACTACTTGTACAATTATATGTAATGCTGAAGATTTAAGTGTACAAACCTCTGCACCAACTAAGAATGATACCAAAGAATTTTCAGGGTGTGCCCAAATAAATCTTCAAAGATAGGGTTATATTCAGCTGCACACATTTAACGTTGTTAGGTGAATTAACTTCCAGTTTCCAAGGTCAAACACTTCACTGAGGAGGTTTTTAATTCTCAACCTTATATATTTTGTGTAAGGACAATGTTTAATTAGCTGTAGAGTATATTTTAGCTAGGTCTATCAATGTCAAATAAAACTGACTTAGATTACATTACTGTTGTTATAACAGTTTCACAAGTTTCAGACATTCTTAGGAAAATCTCTTGGATTAGTAATTGTATATATCTAATGTCTGTCTCCAGTTAATCCTAACAGCCCCTAATCCCTCCACAATGATCTCTTAATATCCTCCTTCTTGCTGCTCCTAATCCTGCCCTTGTCGACACCCAGGGAGCTAAACTCAAGACTTACAACAAAAGGGGAGACTTTCAGTGTTTGTTTTGTAGTCAATGGTGTGAAAGTTGTGTAAGACATTACATGACAAACATTCATACAGATATACTGTATGGATAACACAGACATCCAGAGCTGTGAAGTCTGTTACATAAACAATACACCAAATTGAAAAGTAAATAAAATAAACAAAATTCTGGATCAAAGAGAAGCTACAAAACAAATTAGAATTTAAAAACAGGTCACAAAGATGTTAGGTAAAGTGTAACAAGACAGAAAGGAAGAGGCAGGATCAAAGAAAAGCTTGGACGCAAGTGTCAAAATGACCAGTACAATTAGCCATTATATGTCCCTAAAACACAATCCCATCATGATTATACTGAAAACAACAGAAAGATCAAAGGTTGGAAATTTGGACACATCAATCATATTTTATGTCAGAGTTCTATTTCTGCAATCTATCATTTTCAAAATTCAGTACAAAAACATTCTGCCTTGACATAATACATTAACCAGTAAAATGGAATTTACTCACAAAAGTTTGATCAGGATCAAAGGAAGTGTAGGTATCTGTCTGTAGCTAGAAGCTAACCTCCTAGTCCAGAAGATGTTGAATTCTGATAAAGCTTTTCATCTCTACAAACAGCGACACACTTGACTGAGACGTAATGTTAAGTCAGAGTATGTCACGTCCTGCCTTGGGCTATTACACTCTGAACACACTTATTGTACACAACTACTGGTGTAAGTGTGTTCATCTTTACTGCTTATGTCACAGGTGAAACCGCCACACAGGTAAACTGGGATACTCATTTAACTGTTTAGGGATTTAATGTGGCTACATTGGCATTATGGTTTAGCAAATTCTGGGTTACTTCTGTGTTATACCATTTTCATGATATCTGGGTTACAGTAAGTTATGATAATTTGGTGATATATGGGTTATTGTAAGTTATGATAATTTGGTGATATATGGGTTATTGTAAATAATTATAATTTGGTGATATATGGGTTATTGTAAATAATCATAATTTGGTGATATATTGGTAACAGCATGTTATAGTTTGGTGATACCTAGTGAACTGTCATCTATTGGTAAATAATTCTTATCAAACAAATAATGACAAAGTACATACAATATAACAAATACAGAAAAAAAATGTATCCCTTCTGAGAAATTAACGATTCTCGGAACTGAATTTTGTACCTACAAAACAAAGCTTGAGGCTTCATGTGTCAAGTCATACCAGGTAAGTAATCAGTCAAAAACAAAAAAACAGGAATTAGTTTCAACCATGTTCACCACAATCTAATATATATACAATGACCTGAATTAATATAACGAGGCTTGGTCTGAAAACAAATTAAATTAATGTTTTCCACTTAAATAAACAGTGTCATGAAATACAAAACACATCATAGAGACAAAACACTTTTACAGTTCATCTTCTAGAAATATTACAACTTCTAGGTACATTTCACCTTTTAGAGACATCACACCTTCTAGAGAAATTACATCTTCTGAAGACATTACACTCTCTAGAAACATAACATTTCAAGAGACGTTACACTCTCTAGAAACATAACATTTCAAGAGACGTTACACTCTCTAGAAACATAACATTTCAAGAGACGTTACACTCTCTAGAAACATAACATTTCAAGCGATATTACATTACAATCTCTAGAAACATAAAATTTTAATAAACATTACACTCTCTAGAAACATAACATTTCAAGCAACATTACACTCTCTAGAAACATAACATTTCAAGAGATATTACACTCTCTAGAAACATAACATTTCAAGAGATATTACACTCTCTAGAAATATAACATTTCAAGAGACGTTACACTCTCTAGAAACATAACATTTCAAGAGATATTACACTCTCTAGAAACATAACATTTCAAGCAACATTACACTCTCTAGAAACATAACATTTCAAGCAACATTACACTCTCTAGAAATATAACATTTCAAGAGACGTTACACTCTCTAGAAACATAACATTTCAAGAGACATTACACTCTCTAGAAACATAACATTTTAAGCAACCTTACACTCTCTAGAAATATAACATTTCAAGAGATATTACACTCTCTAGAAACATAACATTTCAAGAGATATTACACTCTCTAGAAACATAACATTTCAAGAGATATTACACTCTCTAGAAACATAACATTTCAAGAGATATTACACTCTCTAGAAACATAACATTTCAAGCAACATTACACTCTCTAGAAACATAACATTTCAAGAGATATTACACTCTCTAGAAACATAACATTTCAAGAGATATTACACTCTCTAGAAACATAACATTTCAAGAGATATTACACTCTCTAGAAACATAACATTTCAAGAGATATTACACTCTCTAGAAACATAACATTTCAAGCAACATTACACTCTCTAGAAACATAACATTTCAAGCAACATTACACTCTCTAGAAACATAACATTTCAAGAGACATTACACTCTCTAGAAACATAACATTTCAAGAGACATTACACTCTCTAGAAACATATCATTTCAAGAGACGTTACACTCTCTAGAATCATAA